CAGCCTCTGCCAGGGAAGTCCTACCCACTGCCTTCACGTGGCAGGGGTGTTGGTTACAAAAATGAGAGGACGGAAAGCGAATGTCCGGCGCTTTAACCGGATCCCAAACCAATGGTGCACATGGGCTCCAGTATCCTGAAGGAACAATCGGCGTATGAACCAATCGTTGGTCACCGGCTGCCATGGGACTGCATCTCCTTACGATGCTCCACTACCTTGTGAGTTAGACCTTTAGGTCAGTGGCTTGGGGAGTGGTCCCGCAAGAAAACCACCTGCTTCGGTTTGGGCACCCGGGCAGTATCACAGCCCTCACACATATCAAGTGAGATCTGTGTGGCGCATATGTGTTTGGTGCCTCCTTGTACAGATATCTATGTGTTAAAATAAATAAATAATAAATAACTATTCAATGAAGGGTTCTGATTGAGACTATTTCAAGATGGGTGCCATCAGAAACCAGTGAGTATTGTACAGTTGTTTCTTACAGTATATTACTGTTCAGAAGTGAACGGTCATGACTATGTCAGAGGCCGAACTAAGGACCTTCATATCTCGCTGCTAACAACTAACTGTTAAATCACTGGGTTGGGATTCAATAACACTTTCAATTATTTCGTAATATTACATGACGATCATTCAATATCATTATCTACGACTATCTCAACACACATATGATCAATAATATTTATCGAAACACTACTTAAAAAACACTAATCACTCTAAATATACTATTACAGAAATTGTAATCTGTAAGAAGTAAAAAACAAATTGAGTAGTTGTTGAGCATAAACGGATCAATGTAACTCATTAAGAATTCAACAGATATATTTATATCACTAAATATTATGCATATGAGTTGCTATAAGACTTCCTATAATCTAAAATAGTTAGTTATATTAAATAGTCGTAAACAATGGAAATAATCACACTGAAAAATTACAAAGATAAACAAACGGGCTATAATTAGTTCATCATTTAAATCATTAAAAATGAAGGGAAACCATATGACTATTTTATTTGTCAAGGTGATTGTTCTCCAACTCAACATTGATAAACTTCTCAGTCTTATGATGAATGGAGTACAGCTAATCAACTAGGCTAAAACCTAATGTTCAACATTTTTGAAATATATACAAATCAAAAACGACAATATTTGCAGAATACGATGAACTCATTAAATTTGATCGCTTTCTCTACCGCTACATATAAGCCTTAGTTTTTTCAACTTTGAATCTACAAATGTAAATTATTATCCGTCTAACAAATAATTGTTTTTTATTATTTGTATCTTCTTCTCCGTTAGGATCATCATCGATACCTATTTGAATAGCCTAAATACGGTCTAAATATTAAAAGTTTTCGAATGATATTTGTGAACATGTACTGAACTGTTAAAATCAAAGTATTATTAAGGTGTAAATTCCCTTCCTAGATTATAAATGAATCTTTACTGTCAGAAACAAACACAATAACTATGACTAAACTTATAGATTATCATTGGTCAAATAAATTTATTCAATAGTTGGTACGATGTTATACAATCTTGAATCCCCTAGCGACTATTTTATACAATTTGAATGCTAACTATTTAAGATTATAAAATAAGACCATTATTTAAACATTAAAATGTGACTTAATAAATAGATGCTAGTTTCAATGTTAACAATACTATGTGATTGTCATAACTACAGTACATACAGTGAAGTGGTTGAATTAACAACTCAATGTTTAGAATATTTTAATCCTTAAGATATATTTAAAGTACCTTATCAATGATTTTCTTTTTATTTAATTCTACCCCATCTTTATAAATTAAACTCATTGATCTCTCGTTTCTGTATTTGTTTTTTCCTTCCAAAATTTATTATTTAAGATATAAATAAGTGTAACTAACTAAATTAAATTATTTTAACAGATTGAACATTCATGGTTAGTTTATTATTCTTATACCAATCAATGAATTTATAATAAACTTTGAATTGATGTATTACATGTTTTATTTTTCAAAAATAAATTCTTTCTACCTCAATTAAGGGATGTTTACAATAATACTATTTAAATTATTTATTTAAATTTGATAATTTAAATCGAATAATTTAAATTGAATAAATAATTTTAAATTTAAATTTAATTGTACAATTTTTTTTTGAAGGACATATTTCTAAGACGCACATGTGAACAAACATGAAAAAATTCAACCACCATATGTATATGTATACATCATTAGAATTCAATTGATGTATGAAATAAAAATCGTAGCCCTCTGCTAGGTATTGTAACTGACGCCAGTTAATATATGTTTACGTGAAGAAAAAATAAAACTCATCAGAGAAATAAACCTAAAAAGAACTTAAGTTCATTGTTTTATTTTTTTCTTATATTATTTTTCATCAATACAAATTGGGTCATAACATCAAGTGTATTCTTTATGGTATGTGTGCATTTGTGGATATAGATTAATCTAACTACATATAAAAATATATAATGGAAGTTGTAAAATCGACAATAATCCTCAGAACTTTAAACTTGTTTTTTTTCTTGAAATTTTAAATCAACTCTTTTCTATTAGTTTCAAATAAAACAATGTTTCTATCTGAAGTTTCGATAATGTTTCAAGGGCTTTTATGTTTACATATACATATAAGTTATAAACGAAAAGCAAAACAGTGATTTTACCTGGCACCTCAGTTACCTAGAAAAAAAAACGTTTATTTTTAATGTTCACGTCTCCGCATTACCGTACATTCCAAAATAAATTTCTAAACTTTATGAAGCTTTTATAGAAAAGTCAGTTCGTTTTATTTTATTATTGTTCTGTTTGTATACGTGTTTCTCAGTAGAAACATGTTAGTATGGCCATGACTAATTGTTTTAAAGTCTTTTAATCAGGACGTAATGTTTCATTAGTCTAGTATAACAGTAACGGGTATTATTATTTTTATTTAGTTATGAAAGATTGTCAAAAAGTGATTCAAAGTTAGCGGGGAGCAAAACACTTTTGTCGTTAAGATGCTTCTTTAATAAATGCATACATGTTTGTGATTTTCATTTATAATCTTACAAATGTGTCAGGCTTTTTAGCTTCCTGATGAAAATGTAGAATGTTAAAATTTTAGTTTATAAACTCGAGGCGACGGCTAGCAGAAGAATTTAAGATGTTCCTTTTGTTTAAGTTGTAATAAAGCTCTTTACCATAGTTACAATCAACAAATCCGCTCCCTGTACACATACGTCAATACAGACTAGCCCTAAATATCATTACCTACTAAACACAACTCCTTGGAAATAAAATTATCACAATCCTCTCCAATAAATTATTGCCTACAGTTACAGCTCAAGAGCTATATTTTCTGCCAAAACACCTTATTCTCATCAATACATCCGTACTTTATTTAAGATTTCACTGGTACTGAAATTCAGTAAGCTTATTATGCTTTATTCGGGAATCATCAGAAGAATAGGCTAATAACGTACTGTTGATGTTTAAACCGAGACTCGCATGGAATGAAACACCCTCCCTTATATAAGCTAACCATCGCAGAATTTATTGGTTTTAAATGCAAGGTACTGACTGAGATCTTGTCTCAGTGTGAATTGCAGCGCTGAGATCCAGAAACGTCCAACTAACACGTCCCAAATAAGACTAAACATACATCGTGGGCTTCATCAGAAGTTACACATCAAATATATTGAAACTTGTATTCGAGGAGTGTACAGAGACATTCCTCTTCGAATGCAAATTCTCCAAAAGAGATTGATTAATTACAATTTTGAATACCAACAACTGGGAATTACAAGCTTTCGGTGAAAAGTATTTACAACTGTCAAAACCAGTATGTTGAGAAATATCAAATTTCCTAATGGTTCAGAACACATTCTCAATATCATTATGGTAACTGTGGAGTGTAACGTGATTGATCTAGGTATGGACGACTTTTACATATGTTCTCATTATATAACTATTGAGTAACTATATTATATGTATATTCATTTTTCTCTCATTGTAGGCTTTTATTTAAACCATTGATTGCTACTAAACGGTCTACTATTCTCAGGTTATTCCCAGTTTATTAGTTACAGTACCTCACCATCAAACCCACTTTTGGTCTGATCTCGTATAAATGTTATTTTCTATCTCATGGTATGATGCGGTCTGGTTTGTTTGTATATAAGTCGAGTATGTCTGAAATACATGATCCATATAACGGGGGCTGATATTGGTATTCTGAACTGAATAGGTTGTGTAAGGCCTAAAGCTGCTGTTTCAGTAGACCGATAAGAACTCAAAGTTGACTGTGGGCTACTCGTACTGGTTTATGCGTCAATGATCTGATCAATAAGTCGGTGTTCTAATTGGCGATCGTATCACGTGATAATCAACACACCATATGGACATAATAATGTGATAAACATAGATGACAGACAGAAGTTATCTAATAGAATCAAGACTAGTAAGCCAAGAGTAAAATTATCGGTCGAGGGTTAATCTAAGCCTCCAAATACCTTGGTATGGCCGAGAGTGGGGAGAGTCCACTCTCCCTCTCGAAATGCTCTCACACGGACATGCGTATGCAGCCTCTGCCAGGGAAGTCCTACCCACTGCCTTCACGTGGCGGGGGTGTTGGTTACAAAAATGAGAGGACGGAAAGCGAATGTCCGGCGCTTTAACCGGATCCCAAACCAATGGTGCACATGGGCTCCAGTATCCTGAAGGAACAATCGGCGTATGAACCAATCGTTGGTCACCGGCTGCCATGGGACTGCATCTCCTTACGATGCTCCACTGCCTTGTGAGTTAGACCTTTAGGTCAGTGGCTTGGGGAGTGGTCCCGCAAGAAAACCACCTGCTTCGGTTTGGGCACCCGGGCAGTATCACAGCCCTCACACATATCAAGTGAGATCTGTGTGGCGCATATGTGTTTGGTGCCCTCTCGTACCAATATTTATGTGTTCAAATAAATAAATAAATAATCCGGGCCATAAATTTGATAACTAGTGAAGAGAGTTCGAATACAATGCAACAATTATATAGTACTTTATGATCTTCATTCAATCAAAACAAAATCATTTCAACCAAATTTTCTTCACGGAATTTTTTTAATAAAGAGACTCTTTTTAAACGCCACATATGTCAAGTTTCAACTAACTTGTTAAAAAAATAACATCTCAAACATACAGTCAAGTATATGAAATGAAATACGGACAAAATTACTCGTATACATCTATATAAACATATCATGAAAATTTACTACATTCATATAACATTTAAGTTGAAGTGTATACATGTTATAAAATGATTAAAGAAATTAAAACAACTGGTTAACTTATGTAGTGATCCTTTTCATATTAAAAAAAATCAAATAAAAAAGTTTTAAAAAGTTTTGTAACAGTAAATAAACATTTTATTTTAAACAAAATGTAACACAGATATTTCCTGTCTAAAATTTAGGATTCTATCCAATTTTAGATGAGTAATTTCAATTTTGACTACAATTTGTTTTTAAATAAGGAATCAAATGTAGATAAAGTAATACCTATATATACATTAAAAAAAATTAGTGGATTATATACACCTCTCACTCTCTCTCTCCTTGTTTATATGCATAAAGCTCAGATATTTAGTGAATTCTTTCAGGTAAAACAAAACAAGTGATTTGAAATAGAGATGAATTTTGATGATTCATCACTTTATTATCTAAAATTGAACATCAACTCTGGGATGCAGGTACATCGAATTGATGAGTCTCAAATAGGACGAAGTTCACGTTCTGGATTCCACTGCCAGCTACCATCCACTGTTATTTATAATGCTTGTGCATTAATTTAATATCGAGGCAATCCACACAGGATGCACATATGCCAATAAGTGCCTGATCAATTGCAGTCCTAAACATCAATGAGAAGATTCAATGCAATCAATACAAAAATGAATTAAAACTGAACTGGTTTATAAACGAGTTCATGATAAACTGGATTTTTAATTAAAAGGAATACATATAATGTTGGTTTATTAGAAAGTTTAGGGAAAAATATTACAAATTATGAATAGACCTGAATTAAGATCAAAAAATTTGACTAATGAAGCTATCGAGGTTTCAAGTTTGATCGTAATTCTTCAAAAAGACATCGATTAAAATCTCAACATGTGTGTACTTACGAGTTTTACCATGATTCTATTTTAAAGTCGTGGATATCAATTTATGGCAGAGAAGTGTTTCCTCAAATTATCAACTTTTTACAGACTGACAGTAAAAATAAATTAAAGGTCATTCATAGTTACTTATATTTCATGATGATGCCTGACATATCACGGGGACAATATAATTTAGTTTAAGATTACTCGAACTGGATTTCGCTTAATTTCCAGCTGGAGACTATTAGCGATTGGATGTTGAAAAAAAGAAAAGAAATTTTACATTTTGCGGATTTTTAGAGGAACAATCTACTTTTCATCTTGACGATAGCACAAATTTTTGAAACATCGAAGATATTGGTGCGGAGTCGGATATAACTAGTTTTAATTTTTGAGTGTTGAATACCTATACATTGCTATTTTTCAGTTGAACTAAAGACAATTATTAATTATTTAGTGTTAAAACTAATCGCCTTTTTTCTATCTACGTTAAGCAATGATTCTCAGCAGTATGTATATATCATTATCAAGGTTCGACTTGATAATTTTGAATAAATTGAGCATTGGGTAGATTGTTATAAATAAATTAATATATCAGAAGGGTTTTTGTGGAGATTTTATTTAATTTCAATTATTGAAATCATGAGTCAATTGAAGCTAGATCACCATGAAAAACCTGGAAGCACTGGACAGCCGTTTCGTCCTAGTATGGGACTCCTCAGCAGTACGCATCCGCGATCCCGCCTCGCGGGATTCGGACCCAGGACCTATCGGTCTCGCGCGCGAGCACTTAACCACTAGACCATTGAGCCGGCATCCAATGATGTTAATGTGTAACTTCAACTAATCCACGAAATTGAGCGACACATCTACCATTGTCTTCAGTGAGTTACTATCTCACAACTGACCCGGTTGAACTCCACTGGTCACTGGTTCTCACTAGAACTCCAGGATATACCTCTTGAAGCCAGTCACTAGCGAGCATATGTTGGTTATTATCAGAAGGGGGTTTTGTGGAAATCTTAGTAATCCCAATTGTTAAGTTCATGAGTCAATTAGGTTTTTTACTCATTGGGATATTACAAATATATTATTTTATTTATATTCTCACCAGTAGTTCTTTTGATTAACTCAAGTTCTATCCAGGGTTTAAATAGCATTTCATCCATGGAATATTCTAACACCAGGCTGCTGAAAGAATTAAAGTAAATGATAAACAATTACTTAAGGAATCACACCGTTTAAAAATGTTTCATTATTTTAATCTTAACTATATAAGACGAAGACATGATCTGAAAAACAAATAATAACATACCAATGTGTTCTTTGTTTAGTTTATCTCACAGTATGAAATTGTAATATTTACTTTAAAAAATAAACCATTTCAACATGAATTAGAGTATATTCATCATACAGACCTTTCAGCATTAGTTAGAATTTCAGCTATTTACATAAGTTTAATTGTTAAAGACTTTTCTTATTAATCTTTCATTCTTCATTCTATTTGTTTTTCTGGGTTAAATAACAACCTTTGAAGTACCCCATACATATATACATATATATAGCTATTCGTAAGATTAATATTGGTCTAATATCAAAATACATACACACACGCCTATACAACTCATATAAAATTACCGGTATACTGAAATGGTGGGGAATAAGCTCGGGTTTTTTCTTACTTCTTTTGATTCACAATGAATTAAAAAAGTGTAAACAGTAAAGTAAATAAATCACATGTGAATACTTGACAAGATAGCTGGTGTCAAAAGTAGTTGTGTACCTCTTAAATTCAAATAGAATAATAATTAATGTAAATGAAATAGTTATCAATCTAAAGAAGTTGTTGAAAAGTCATTTAATGAAGACTTACGATTATCTACACTAGATCCCTCCCAGTGTCTATTCTACAGGACATCAACACAACTCAGATCAAGAACACGTAATTAGCCTGACTAGAACGTAAATATATTTTCACACCAAAAACCGACACAATCCACAACACTGAACAATCAATAATAAGTGCGTCATAATAATAAGGATAAGGGAATATATAACTTATCACCTGACACCTGTCAGACTATCTACATGTCTGACTAAGCAGACAACCAATCATGATCATTCTCGCCCACACATCAATTTATTAGAAAATTAAGGTTGCACAATTATCCATTCAGCCTCAAAACTTGATGATCTAACTCCAAAGAATGATGTTATTTAGTTTTAATCAGTAGAGCACAATGATGAAGTTAGTGACAACAATTAGTCGCTTAAATATTCTTTGTTTTCGAGCATACAATTAGGATTTGTAAACTGTAGGAATATTGTAAACTAAAGAACATTGAAAAGTGGTGATAGTTAACTTCAAATCAAACAATCTTCATATACCTTCACTAGTGACTATTTCTACCTTTAGCATAAATGAACATTAAGTTTAATCACCTATTTATTAATTACTGTATTTCAAAGGATTTTTGGATCAAAAACATATTGAAGGAATCCAACTTAATTGAGATTGAAAGGGGAATTTTTAGTGTCATTAGATGGTCGGGTTATAGTTTTCAGATTGACTAGTGCCGAGCATGTGAACTACAATGGTCTAAATATATGGTTCATTTTGTAAATTGAATACTCGTTTGTCTGACCTCATATGATATTATTGCTGCGAGGAATTCTAAGTTGAAACAATACGGTTATCCATCACTTTCTGCTTTTAAACAGACCCTTAATGATTTTAGGTTCTGATATAAACTAATTTAATTAACTTTAATTTTAAAATTATTGAAAATATTAGCTGCAAAACAGATTATTTTTGATTTACCCTAGAAGAATTGGCTATTCACTTTCGTAATAGGATATGTTGGATAAAACAATAATCGGTTAATTCGCAAATTCGATCATATAATTCTTTTACGTTTTATTTATTAAGTCAATAGTAGTAAGTGATCGTTCCTTTGTCGAATCTCTCTACACTCAACCACAATGTGAGGGGTTTGAACTCATCTTCATCTATTACTCCGTTTAACAAACATTACTTCTCATATTTAAAGTCTCAAGCAAAGCTAAATACACGAGGAGAAGTTATAGTAAACTTGGTTATTCTGTCTAGTAACCATTTGAAAAATAGTTTACGTGATTACTCAGGTTCACAAAAATTTTAATAATAATTCCCTATGCTAATCAACTCATAATCCTTGAGCGACTTGTTGTAAATTTTGCTTGTAAAATGATTTGGAATTGTTTGACTATAGTTGCTGTTTCTTTTTTCAATCTCATTTTATTTTAAATGCATTTATTATGAATCGCAAGGAATATAGTTTCATAAAAAGTACAAAAAAACACTATAAGTGTGAATGAGCACCATTTATTATGAATTGACTCATTATCAACCTTTATGTCAATAGACTATTGACAAATGTTGATAATATTTGGAAGCACAAGAATATTTCCTATGATTCAAACAAGTATTCGGTCTTACTGGAGTGAATTTCACAACCTATAAAGTATTCGGGTTATCCAACCATAATTTTTGAATATAGTTTAGGAGATTTTGTAAATAATTTAAAAGTGATTTTCATCATGAACTAGGCACAAATTTAGGAATGACTGAAAACCAGGTATAACTGAACAGCTATTTCGTTCTAAATCACGTTATTTACAGTGGATTCAAAGCTCATGTGGTTTTCATCTTAATGTTTTGTGTTTTTGTAAATGCAAACTGATGAGGAGCCGGAAAACTAAGGGTTTCTCAGTGGAAAAACCATGGAGAACAAGGAACTATTAAAGTGTTATTTCGCCCTGACTTTCCCCATCAGTACACATTCCTAAACTCAGAAATTTCTTAATGAAAAAGATACAGGCGGCTATTGGGTCAAAATCCAGTCGTCCAACTTTTCAAATCCAATCAACTTACCAAAAGCCATAACCAATGGACTACTCAGCTTATAATGATATTACAGAGAAATAAAATGCAATGCTCATAGAATCAATGTTTTGTATAATAAAACCAGTTTTTCACTCTATAAATTGGTATTTAAGGAAATCGAAAGCAAAAACTATGTATTACGAAAATATACTGACAGATAATATGACGTCCAGTAAGTTGAAGGTGATAGTAACTACTTACTATTTTTGACCGTCGTATATGAGTAGTGTAGGAACAACAAGAGGGCGGATTCGCTTGCATATAGCACACAATTCTCTTTGAACCTAGAACACAATAATACCGTCATGCACTGTCCCATCGCCTTTGGCAGATCAGGCAACTCGAAAGTCACGAGAACGCCATCAGGGCATACAACAGTTTGGGTACCCAAAGAGTAGTATAATAGTGATGCTTATTGAATCTTTATTCCAGCACGAACCCACCTATGGTGTTTTCACTAGAATTATCGTTTTTAAAACGAACTTTATCCTCGGAAGCAATTCAGTTTACTAAAATAATATAATCAGTGTTTCCAAAACCATAATGTAAAATCATGAAAAAATATTGTATCTGTACAAGGATTAAGAGATTTGGCTATCTTACAGATCATGTTTTGTCTATTCAAATATCCGTTTGATCTACAGATTAGTTCACTAATGAATAAGGCCTGGAAAGAATAACCTAGTAGACACATTTCTCCGATTTCCCATAATTAATAATTAACCTGAAGTGAAGTAAAAAAACCATACTCCATAAAGAAATCAGAGCAAACTGAATACGTGAAAATTTTAGATACTTACAGATAGAAAATAATTTCACATAAAGCTATAAGAATTTGAAGTAATGAAAAATTCTTAAAACGATGTATATCAGGCTTGTATTTAGTCTTTTGTCCGAATTTCCAACAAGGTTTTTTATTACTAACAAGTAATATAGTTTTGAAGTACAAAACAGACTAATAACTCTATGACATTGGTTATCATTCAAGCGGGAATTCTCTCTTGAGATTGGAGTCAAATCTAGCGTGGTGGTACTGTAAGATCAACTAAACAAAACTGAAACCTACTCAACGTACTTGGTTATGCTCATATATTATTTCCACTACTAGGAACAGATTGTCAGACGCTAATCCTCTCAAAATGACCAACAAACAACATTGAAAACTACCTATCATAATTTTGGAGAAACCAGTATGCGCAACAGCTTCTTAGTCCTGCCTAAAAGTTCTTTAAATTTTGGTTTACTGTATTTAACCTTGTCTAGTAACTCTGCTTTTTTGGTGTATATTGAGGCGGCAGAAAAGTCTCGTCCCTTGTATAGGGTGACTTAATTTATTGAACCATTGAATTGTGTAGCTTGAATTTAGAAATATGACTCTAGTTAAACCTAACGCAGGTTGGTTTAGTAGATGAAAGTTATTCCAACAATCATTCAAACTAATACAAACTACCCTTTAAATGTGATTTAATATGTTACGGGGAAATTCGATTGGAAAATCCCTGATAGAAAACTATGTGCATGACATTAAAGATTGTCGGGCTGAGAACTCTTGTTATAAATGAAACTTGATCAGTATGTATATTGAAAACAAGAGCTAACAAATCTTCACCATTTTAAAAGAGAAGAGCACCGGAAGATAAACGGCACAAATAATACTGTAATGCTTATCCTTAACTGATAATCAAATGACTCAATTCGACTTTTCTGCACTAGAGTGACTGTATAGGCCTACACAGTGAGCAATTGACACCTAAAATGAAGCAACATTTTGATATTTAGCCTCCAATAAGCTATGCAAATGTTTAACTTCTGTTCGCTTGTAACGTTTACCTCTGTATAAAAATTTTTAATTATGGTGATATCAGTATAAAATAGGACATTGGCAATCTACCGAACGGAAATATGAATTAGCATTAAATACACTATTATATCCAGCCATTAGCTAAAGTTATATTGTGATGACATAGTTTAACTTTACAAAACCTCAACGTACTTTTGAAAGGCGTTTCGTTTTTTAATTAATCGAACTCTGACAATTCTCACTCTCAGTCCTAACTGTTCTCCGACTATTCATGTTTACGTCGTTAGTATAGTAAGATTTAATGATGAGAATATGTAGATGCACAATGTGTTAATAAGTTGAGATAAAACATTTATTTTTTTAGCGGATCTGGATCCATTTGCTTTAAACCACATGGTTGAAATTCAGAGGTCTATATTTCTATTGATACTTAACGGATAAAACGGTTCAGTTTCGACCCAATATTACTGAAACGATATGATTAAATGGATTGAAAATAAAATAAGCCAAAAGGGTTATCTACGTCTCTTAAAATGAATATAATGATATCCATGCTGAAATTTTAATATTAGAAAAGTAATCAGTGACGAAAGTTTGCTCATTATGATGAAACTCGCAACAGACATTGTAAAGTTTAGCAGACAGAGAAAAGATCGAACAAATACTACTCGTACCCACAAATGAAGGGGGTCAAGCGTCTAAATGATTGATAAAACACCAATAAGGAAAACTCATCAGAAAACAGTTGATCGTAAGTAATGGTAATAGATAACATCGTACAAATATCACAAAGGGTTAGCGACTTGTACATATGAGCTGCTATGAATGCATCAGAGTTGGAGAAAAGAAAACGAAAACCTCCTTATTAGCAATTCTTCATTTCTTTGATACACAAAATGCAATTTAATCCAAACAAAATCAACAAACAGTTCGGCTGATCTCACATGTTTAATAACATCATGAAATAGAAACTCGAGTGTAAACTCACTACAAGAGATCTCTGTAGACTCATGTTAGTGTTATTTTATACTTAAACTTCTTCAACCTGACGTAACAGCAGCACAATTTTGTAATCATAAAAGGCAGAAAACAAACACCTGTAGGATTAAAAACGTTGGGAACAGTTCAAACCAAACATAAACAATTATTTATTTTGCATGGTAGGTAATATTTGATAAAATATGATAATCGGCATCGTTACTGTTTTTGTGTTACCTCCTCGATTATCTTGATCAACGTTTGAATAAAAGTTTTAATCTAAAACGAGAAAAATATTTAGAATTGAAATCGAGATTAACTTTTGCCATTAATATGCACATAATCATATTTATGCAAAAAAACATTAGGACATCTTTAAAATCAGGTTAACTAGTTTTATAATGCATATGATGGAGTGAGTCAAATAGTTTATCTATAAAACGATTATATTTGTCTTGAGGGTAAAACAGTCTAGTTTGTCCATTTCTGTCACTCTTTGCACTCTTCATAGGTAGAAACCACTGAGGTATATATGACTAAATTTCTGACGAATTTACTGCTTATTTAACGTACTTATACAAATCCAGAAAGTCAAAGTAGTCTATATGATATGAAATCTCATTACACCTTTATATTATTATTACATTAGTTAGCAACGCTTTAGATTCATGTTAAAGAAGTTTTATAGGCAACATACCTGTAAGAGCCATCAAAGTTAACAGGTACATTATTCAACAACTAATTAAAAGCATATTCTTTTCACCAAAACACTTACATGATAAAACGGGGCATCATTTTTTCATCACAAATTTCTCCATGAATTATCAAAGAAAAGCTCTTATAATCTTATTTTTTAACCCAAAAACGCTTCGTATCGAAAGATTTTCAATTATCTGAATATTAAGTTTGAGTAGACAAATCCGTAGTTATATTTAATACCAAGTACCCTTAGCTAAAAACACTTACATTGCAAACGTTCGAGACTTTTTACTCAAAAGCATGTGAACAGTGTAATGATATGCCACTAAATTATGTACCACACACTTTGTTGCTACAAATAATTTTTTGGGGAATATTTTCCCGACAGTTAACTTTGAAAATAAGAATTCGGTTTGTCTTATTTTCGTCTGTATGATAACATACAGTTAGTTGACTTTATACTTTAAAATGTCAAAAACTGAGCGAAAAAACAACAGCTATAAATAACACTAGTGGACCAGGAAATGAGGCGTAACAAGTATCTTCTTCAGGTCATAATTTGTCTGATATGTATGCACGTTTGTTTTATATGAGCACTTCATGTAGTGATGGTAAGTGGTTTTCACTCAACTTAACAGTTGCATGTGTGCATCTGAACAGAATAATAGGATCCATCTTCACGTTTGTGAAACAACTGGTTCGAAATTTATTTAAAATCACCATTAAATATCCGAATAACCGCATGGTGATATATAATATTTAACTCACTGCTCTTAGTTGTTTACAAGTTTCATTAGGCTTGGCCGATTCGCCATACTTTTGATGTGATCGCACGATAGTATACATATTAGCGACAGCTCTGTGAGTGAAAATCAATTACATACAATTCCGACTTACATAACTATGGTGCTAAGTTCGTAAATGCGATTAGCAGCTAAGTCTCTTGTGTGCTCCCACTGAGTCTCTTTATTTCTCCCACTCACTTGTTGCAACTCCAAGTGATTACGAAGCTCAGCTATTTCGTTAGTTAGAGAGAGTTTTTCATCTTGTTTTGTCTGATGAACTATATCAAGATATACCAGTCAAATTACCTTTTTAAAGTGAACAATTTCGCTGCTTTTGCTGTCTATAAGTTTCTGTGTTTTTGAATCTAAACTTTTCAAATCCTGCAACTTTGTGGGTTCTCTGAAATTAACTAACTTCTAAGTTGGCTTTCAGAGCATCGTACCGTGATATGAGCTCATAAATGTCAGAAAATTCATCGGACATTTTAACGACGGACTCCAGAAAAAGCCGATATTTAACAAGCGACTTGACCTTTTTTTCTTGCTTTTCACGCATTTTGGTTAATCTTGCAATATCATCACTCAGACTACGGAAATTTCCTAAAGTTAAACTAATAGTTACATATTGATTTCAGTTTGCTTTTGCTGTTGTAAGCCCTTTTCTGCTGATATTTTTTTCGTCGCTCTTACTCTTTTTCCATCATTATCTTTGAAGAACTGGTCAAACTTTATGAGTGATTCTTTAAGTTCACACTCCTTTCTCTCAAGGTCCTCTCTTCGTCTTTGCATACATTCCATTTTAACCCTAAACTCCTGTTAGAATATTGATCATAGCGATTAAAGTCATTTTACTTCTTTTTTGGCCGTAAGTGCGCTCTGGACATTTTTTAGCTCTTTATATTTTTCTAGAAGTTTGGTAGAATTAGTTAAGTTTCTGTCTTCATCTGCAGGAGCATTACTTAAAAATGAATAGAAATAGTAACTAGCGTTACACCAATAGTTTTTCTTGAAACACAGTTTTCAAATATTCTTCAATGGTGAACTCCGTATTCTTTAGCGCTTTTGAAAATGAATTAGACTTTTCAATTTTTGACTCCATTTAAAAGATTGACACTGTAAATAACTAAGGTATCACATACTTTGAAGAAGTAAAACTACGACAAGGTCAGATGTTCAAAATGGATCAGTATGAAAAGATGATAAGAAGCGGTCTTTCAGTAACTAATTTCTTAACATTATATTAAGACTTATTTTTCATCATTTCATTTCAAACAAACTTTTCAACAAAACACGAAAGTGTCTCGAACGGTTCAAATTGTTGCACACTGAATAGAAGAATCTTTCGCTCAACGGACTTCCATATCTAATAATAATGAGCTTCCGATACTTTCAGGTGAATGCCTAGGTATATTTCACGACTAAGAGAAAACCAATTGTAAATTGTAGTGTAGAACGCTCCTGAGCCTTTCATAGTAGGTCAAGCTTATCCATGAGGGACTCCCTGGAAGTCTCTTGGATCAACTCAGTCGACAACAAGTTTCAGAATCTGATCATCTGTGAAGAGTAGGCTCGCCAATGGTCCATTTTGCCATGTTAAGCCTCGAATTTTGGGTATTAATGACAAAATGTGTTATGACTGATCTTCCGTGAGTATTTTAGGGAATTCCAGGGAGTAGTAAAGATGCTACAAACCACTGAAAGATCAACTCTAGGGTCTAGAAACGTCATATGATAAAGATCCAATGATTTAAGGCGCTTTTCATAAGGTTCGAATTCAAGTCCTTGAACTGATTTCATGGCTCGCTTCAAGATACGTTCCAGAGTATTCTCATTCTTTTGAGGGGTGTACTGTAAAATACTAATACACCTGGGTCTTTTTCATGTTTGAACACTGACTAAGTTTCAAAATTCTCGCTAAAGCTTCCCATCGTCGGAGAAAAGTAATAACTCGGACGATACTTTACGAGGAAAGCCTAGATGAATTGAAAGAGAAAATGTTGACTTTTAAGCCCTGTCCATTACCACGTGATACGGTCGCCAATTAGAACACCGACTTATTGATCAGATCATTGACGCATAAACCAGTACGAGTAGCCCACAGTCAACTTTGAGTTCTTATCGGTCTACTGAAACAGCAGCTTTAGGCCTTACACAACCTATTCAGTTCAGAATACCAATATCAGCCCCCGTTATATGGATCATGTATTTCAGACATACTCGACTTATATACAAACAAACCAGACCGCATCATACCATGAGATAGAAAATAACATTTATACGAGATCAGACCAAAAGTGGGTTTGATGGTGAGGTACTGTAACTAATAAACTGGGAATAACCTGAGAATAGTAGACCGTTTAGTAGCAATCAATGGTTTAAATAAAAGCCTACAATGAGAGAAAAATGAATATACATATAATATAGTTACTCAATAGTTATATAATGAGAACATATGTAAAAGTCGTCCATACCTAGATCAATCACGTTACACTCCACAGTTACCATAATGATATTGAGAATGTGTTCTGAACCATTAAATATTACTTGATACCCAATTGTTTGTAGCTTTTGATGGGACAAATACGGTTAACCCTATCAATGGCTTTTGAGAAGTTAAGGGATTCTCAATTTACCGTTTGTACTTCCTTGTATAGATGTCTCACTCTTAGCCAGCAATCGTGATTGTGAATAGCTAACCCGTCTAGTAATACTTTTCAAGAAACTGCACGTGTATAAATTAGCGGTGAATCCTGGGAAATATGGATTCGTAAAAAAGCCCTCCACCTTCCTTAACCATGTATTTGATATTTACGTTACAAAACCAGTTCCAGAGTGAACTCAAGCCAGCGAAAATGTTTAATTACCTGATTCACCCTGGAAACTGGGAAGCTGACCAACTTCTACCTATACTTTATTCCGATGTTTGCTAGCATAGTGTAGCCAATAACAAAATTATTAAGAGGACTTAGTAAATCAGTAACAGTGATATCACATGAAATTCAGGCATTTGAACAGTTGAAAGACGCCCTGAGCATGAAGGTATTACTTGTATGGAGAATCGTTAATGCATCATTGGCAGCAATAACCAACTCTTTTAATGTAAAAGTAAGTGCCGTACTTCAGAGACGTGTAAATCAGTAGTGGAAGTCTCTTGCATTTGTCTCGAAAAGGCCTAACGTGACACAAATAGAATATAGTACTTTTGATGGAGAACTTTCAGCTGTCTAATTGGCCATCAAATACTTCCGATACATGTTGGAGGACAATTCCTTCACGTTGTTTAATGATCATTACCATTGGCCAAAGCCTTGATACATAATCACAACAATTACCTGCCTAAAATTCGCTGACTGGCATCCACTTCGTAACTTGCAACTGACGTGCGTTTTATAAACATGAAAAGTGACGATGACGCATTATCGAGATTAAATATTAACATATTTTCAACCCCTGATTTCAGTTGTCAAGTCATAGCATAAAGTCACAAGCTCAGTACAGAACTAGATAAATTTCTGCAACCCAACGAAACATTATTATTGTTTTTAAACATCTCTATAAATAACAAGGACTCATTGACCTGTGAAATCTAGACAGGTAAAACTCGCCCCTTGGTATCTTATTACATAAGACGAAAAGTTTTTCGAAATGTCACACAATATATCCCAACCAGGTATAAAAACCACGGTAAAGCTTGTTACAGACAGATTTGTATGATCAAGCATAAACAAAGATTTACGAAAATGGACACGAGAACACATCAAATGGTCGAAAGTCTATAGATACATCACACTTCTTTCAGGTGTTTTTCCTGCCGCTAGGGCCATTTTCTAACAAATCCATATCAAAATCCTTAGACCATCGATAAGTTCCAATGAGCATACGCATTTTTTAACATGTATAGACAGTTTCGAGAGATAGCCCATATATGTCTCGTCAAAATACATGAAAGAATCAACTGCGACAAAGAAATTGCTGAAACACTGGGTAATAAACTTTGGTGTCACAACAAAAATTGCGACCAATCGTTGAGCGCGGTTTAAAGGCAAACTATTTCGGTAGCTCACTGAAACTTTTAGTGTAAAGAGGATAAGAGCTACAGCCTATCATCCGGCAGCCAACTGAATGAAGGAAATGTTTCATTGACAGCTAGAAGTCTCATTGACAACCACAAGGAAAGGTCACAAATGGGATACCAAGAATGTGTCTTAGATAGTAAGTTCATAAGAAATCAAGCTGGCTGTAATAAGATAGACTTCATTGGTCCATGTGTTTCACATGAAAGTCAGAAATTCATCTCAGTAAGAAAATGGTTCATTAAATATTTAGTCAAACCTAAAAATATATTTCAACAACAACGCCCTCATTAACTGTAGTGTTACTATTCAGAAACAAAGTAATCTCTTTATGAATTCTGTAATTTAATAGACATGGTAATTTACAACGTCATCTAAATGCTATAGTTCGTCGTACAACTGTCAACCTGTTGTGTGGTCATCAATACTGAACGCTGCACCCATAAAACAGGAGTAAATAGTTAAAACTTTGAATTGTTTCTTTCAATGACACTTTTGTATTTTGTCTCTTACATCGTGATAACACTCCTGTGTCGCGATGCCAAAAACCCTAGCAAATTGTTGTTGACGGATAACCATAGAAACCGCGATGTTAGTGCGTCTAATGGTTAGAAAAAAACACTTTCCACTTCGTATGCTGCCGTAAAACTTGCACTTCTGAGGAGCTCTTTCCTATGGTGTCAGAATGTGTGAAATAGCTGGCAAACTCAAGTGTTTTGACGTATCATAAAATATATCACGCTGACGTTTTTATAATTTCATCTATTAACTGCGTCACCACGGCCATTTGGTATGTGAAGTAATAATCCAGTGAATTTAGTGGACCTACAAATTTGTCTCTCATGTCTTTTTGCTGAGGTCATGCAGTCCCTCTTTAGATGACAAAGAGAACTGCAAACTTTCTTGTTCACTATCAAGTTTTCGGGTATGTTCATATCCATCGAATTTTGACGTTGGCTGCATAACGTTCTCATTCAAGTCTGATATAGCTGTTGACATGTTCTTTAGAACAGAATGTTGTTTATCTCATGTTAAGTGTTTACATCAATCGTATACGTGACTTTCTCGTCCACTAGCGCACTGTCCACAGGCCTAAACTAAGACGTTGAATACGACAGAATCGATTGTGTCGAGCTAATTTATTAAAATGTTTTAAGAAAACATACCTAATTGGCATTTCGTGAGACATAAGTGTTCAGGAACCGAAATTTAGGATACTGTACGTGGCTATTTCCTTTCTTTCCATTGAAGAATCACCAGGCCTGCATACAGAAGGAACAATCGACACTTTATCGATTCCCATACTGAGACGACGTCTAATTTGTGTCATTTACTCTGAAAGTATGAAGGAGTACTTGCTAGACAACTAGATACCAACGTATTTATACCCGTGATTCCATATATATTCATGTTTCTTGGCCTAGTTTGAGGTTGATTAGTTTCTGTGTCACATCTTAGTGTACTATGTGAATTGGATCTAAATGAAACGTTGGGATCTTAGTAATTTCAAGCGCTTCTAAATTGGGATGGAATTGATGACGAATAGATTGAATCTGTTGAAGAAGACTATAATCAGTACTCTATGCATATTAACCATTTCAAACGGTCATTCTTCTGTCAAGGCGCCTAGCCACCACAGCACAACTATCGCAATCTGCTTTCCCATTGTAATTAATATGTGCAAGTTCAACGCATCAAAATAACATGTTACAATCAAAGTTCAACATTTCTTAGCAGATCGGTTTCAATCTTAGATGGCAGTAAACACCTATGTCGATGAACTTAGGTTGGACACTTTTGCGTTTTCATAGGACACTTCCGATGCTGCTTGGTAAGCCCGGAACAAGATCTCGAAAGGCATGCAGAACGCGATCAGCATCCTTGATGGTCTGACAGCTAATTGTCATGAAGATGCCACAGGTTTTCGGAGTTTGACAACGCTTTAACCAAAAACACCATCTAATATGAAGCGCACCCACCAAGTAAAATCAAAAGACAGAAGCGAGGAGATCGAAGATGTATTTAATAAGCTATCAATATGTCAAGGATCGTTTGCACTAATCTGGCAGATGTTGAGCACGGCGTTCGTACACGTGATCTGGTGCGGATGCTTGACCGAGCGCCTTCGGCTAGATGAGTCCACTGAAACTGTGGTCAGTATCCAATGTCGAAAACTTGCAGAGCTATTTATTTTGGGGATTTACTTACCGCTACAGATCACTCCCCCCTAGTAGGGTAGTAATGACCCCAAGACGTGGCCAACGAGAAGTTTAAACCCAGCGAGTTTTTCGTTGTTAAACACTCTTCTGATAGCTTGCTAGGTTAAGCAGCGTCTGATCGTCTTTCCTTACTATAATGGACCATGATGTACAATATAGTAAAAAAAGAAAAGGTAAAATGAAGATTTTCGTTTCTCGCAAACTTCATCGTTCTTTTTATCGTCTTTTGCAGTCGTCCTAGAAAAAAAAAGAAGTGCATGTCCAAATACACTCGTACGCGCGTAAAAACGCAAAGCGAGTGAAAAAAAGGAAAATAAATTCATGCTCACGTAATAGCGTAAAAAAAGGATTTTTATAATATCGTTTTTTGTTTTGTTTTCTTTTTTGAAATAAAAAATAATAAAAATATATAAGCATATTAAATTCGTGTTTTTTTATAAAAATAAATATAGTACAAAGGAAAATCGAGATGATATAAAATGTAAACGTGTATTTTACGTGCAGTATGCGTTCAAATGTTCTGAAAATCTTACTCTTCTTCCAGAACGCGTTGTTTTGAGTTTATTTTCTGATACCGCCGAAGTATCAACGTGTGTGTCGGCTGTCGATTGATGTATTATAAGTGCAGAAGTTGTGTCGTGCGATTGTATTGAAGGAAAATCGACGTGAATAGGATTTCCTTCTAAATACGCTGCTTTGAGGCGATCGATGCTAATGCTTTCGTTGGTTCCGTTCTTATCGATTATATAGTACTTAAATTCGCGTTGAAGAACTTTGAAAGTTCCTTCATATGCCGATTCAAGAGGTCGTCGATGTGTCTCGACGTACGTAAACGTGTGTACCATATCGTAAGTCAGGTTGAACGAAAACATCAGTTGATTGTGGTCGAGTGGAAACAGGTTTAACTGAACGCATTGCGTTTGTAAGCCTGTTCGTGTAGGAGGTCGAATCCATGTTCATTGAAGATGATGAAGGATCCACGAATTCTCCTGGAAGTCGGAGTGTTGTTCCATAAACGAGTTGAGACTCAGTGTATCCAATGTCAGCTTTCACTGCATTGCGAATACCTAGTAAGACGAGTGGAAGTGCGTCAGTCCACAGGAGCGTGCCCTCTCCCTCACGTCTTTATTCATACCAGGCCAGCAAAACCGCTCTGCTATAAGCTTGATGGTTGCAGGAACAACTAGATGAGAGAGTCTATGCAACGTATTGAAGACGTTGCGTCGATATTGTTTCGGCACGATTGGACGATCCCTACCTGTAAACGTGTAGCAAAGTAAGGTTTCATTACCTGTTCCCATCTGTTTAATTAGCAGTTTAAGTGTTGTTGAGGCCAACTCGTGCTGAAGATCACTGTTGATGTGAACCGGGAAACAAGAAGCCCTGACAAACTACGAAGGCTATTTTCGGAACGTTATTTCATTTTATTCAAAGCTTGTAAAACACTGACATTTATTTTTGTCCCTAATCTATTCTACAGAACATAAGCTTTCGTTCGGTGTATCATTCACTGCCATACCTTTTTCTGTTCCGAAGCTATTGTAATTTAAACATATTATTTTGCACCCTATTTTCTACTCTAATTCCCAGCTTTGGACATAATTGTATTTTTCCTAATTATTGTACGTTGCGGTCGGGTTATTCACTTATTTATTCATGTACCTTTTTACACTAATCCGAATTCAGTGAATTCAGTGAATCCAGTGAGTTCAGTGGTCAGGGAAATAGATCGAGTAGTGTTCCAGTTGTCTTGTCTTCTCTCTCATTCGTGTGCTTGCCCACCAATCAGGTGACAGAATAGTTTTCTTCTCTCTACCCCATCTCGAACTCACGCTTACTAGTCTCAAGGTTAAGCCGATCGGCCTATCGCATCAAGGTCGAAATCTAGATTAGACAAGTATCTTCGGCACCAAAAAGTGGGTCGACAAATCAAGGTCATAACAAAGTGGCGACGGAGATTTTTTTTCTATATTGATTGATCCAGAGCAAAATGTCTGTATCCTTGGACGACCTTAAAACTATTCTACAAATTCAGCAAGCGCAAAATGATGCAAATCAAATGAAGCTTTTAGATGCACTGATGCAGAAGCTGTCATTATATTTATCCACAACTTATCAATCAGATAAGTATGAATGCATCACGAATTCTATTTGTGAATTCCATTATGATCCTGAATCTGGTATCATTTTCAATTCCTGGTTTCATCGTTGCGAAGACATATTCCGTGTGGAATGCTCAAATCTTGATGACGCAGCTAAAGTTCGCCTACTCCTGAGAAGACTCGGAACACGTGAATACAACAAATATGTGAATTTCATCCTGCCACGAAATCCACGAGATGTATCTTTCAAAGAGACGGTCCAAATTTTATCTGACATTTTCGGCGAACAATCTTCATTATTTAATACTCGCTATCGATGTTTCCAAATATCGAAATCCCCAGATGATGATTATCTCACATATGCTGGTAAAGTAAATCGAGAATGCGAACTGTTCAAAATAAACGAGATTACAGCTGACCAATTCAAATGCTTGATTTTTATATGTGGTTTAAAGAATGCAGAAGATGCAGATGTCCGTACCAGGATGTTAGCACGCATTGAACAGGAACCGAATATGACACTACAAATGGTCACAACCGAGTGTCAGAGGTTGATAAATCTCAAGCATGATACCGCGATGGTGCAACAGAAGGCTAAACCTTCCGATTTTGGTTCAATTAATGCTCTCAGATCCTCGAAATCGTCCAAACAGAACACTACAACCACACAACTACCTTCTGTCAAACCCCCATCACCATGTTGGTTCTGCGGAGCATGGCATTTTGTGAAACTATGTCCGTTCAAGAATCACATGCCGCAAATGTCATCGCATTGGTCATAAAGAAGGTCATTGCTCATCGAATAAATGTCGTAGTGGAAATGCGAAGCAACGACCACAGAGTCAAATCAAAAGCACGTAAGCAGCCTTCAAATTTGGCTTTCAAAGTAAGCGGAAGTACGTAAACTTATTAGTAAATGAAAAACCCATACGTCTTCAATTGGACACGGCTTCTGATGTTACACTGATTTCCAAAAACACATGGCGTAAGCTGGGATGTCCACGCATCCGACCAACAGAACATGTTGCTCGCAATGCTTCAGGAGATATAGTGAAGTTGACAGGAGAAGTCACATGCAACGTTAAATTCATGGGACATAAGTTCACCGATGTCTGTTATCTTACAAATCGGCACGATTTAGATTTATTAGGATTAGACTGGATTGAGAAGGTTGATACCTTGAATAAAATATTAAATGAGGTATGTTCTCAAAATGCTTCCTTCGAGTCTATCAAAATTCCTGATGATATTTCTAAATCAAATGCCTCCGATGTATCATGTTCTCTTTATATTCATGAATTAAATGCTTCTGATGAAACATGTTCTCATAATCTTTCTGAATCAAATGCTTCTAATGTAATGTATTCTCTTGATGATGTTAAATCAAATTCCTCCGATGTAACATGTCCTCACAATGATTCCAAATCAAATACCTCAGACAAAGTATGCTCGCGTAAAACTTCAGAACCTCATGTAATTTGTGCCAGTGTTATGTCCACAACAAAGTCTTCTGTTTCTTCTCAAATGTCGTCTACATCTCGCATAAATCATCTGCGACAAAAGCATGCAGGTGTATTTCAAAACAAACTGGGCTGTTGTAAGTTCACCAAAGTATCCTTGTCACTGAAGCAAAATGCAAAGCCAATTTTCAGACCGAAACGACCAGTGCCTTATGCTGCTCTGTCAGTCGTTGACCAGGAACTGGACAGATTAGAAGCGTTAAGTGTCATCCAGCCAGTAAATTATTCACCGTGGGCTGCCCCCATAGTGGTCGTGAAAAAGGCAAATGGGACTGTTCGCATATGTGCTGACTTTTCCACTGGTCTGAATAATGCCCTAGAAGATCACACGTATCCACTTCCCATACAGGAAGATTTATTCATCAAACTAAATGGAGGAAAGTATTTTGCTAAGATTGACCTTGCTGATGCATATCTCCAAATAGCAGTTGATCCAGCCTCCCAACCACTACTGACGATTAACACTCACAGAGGCCTTTACCAATATAAGCGTTTACCTTTTGGTGTAAAACCAGCACCAGCTATTTTTCAACAAATAATGGACACTATGTTGGCAAATTTGCCAGGAGTCGCTGTCTATTTAGATGACGTAATCGTTACAGGTTCCAGTAAGTCCGAGTTATTCGATCGACTCGATGCTGTTTTAACCAAAATATCTGAGTATGGATTCTACCTAAAAGAAGAGAAGTGTACATTTTTCATGGACTCTGTGAAATATCTTGGTTTTGTTTTCGATAAAAATGGACGACGCCCAGATCCGGAAAATGTACGAGCTATCCAAAATATGCCACCTCCATCTAATGTAGCAACTCTGCGTTCATTCCTTGGTCTTATCAGTTATTACAGTAACTTTTTGCCACAATGGCATCGCCTCCGAGCACCCATGAACCAATTATTATCCAATAATGTAAGATGGGACTGGTCCAGTAAGTGCCAAAAATGTTTTGACAAAGTAAAGTCATTATTAACATCGGATCTACTCCTTACATATTTTGATCCCTCGCTGGAAATCGTTGTTGCCGCAGACGCTTCTGACTATGGTATCGGTGCCGTCATATCCCATAGGTTTCCAGATGGCAAAGAGAAAGCTATCGCACATGCTTCCAGAACATTAACTTCGGCAGAACGCAAGTACAGTCAAATTGAGAAAGAAGGTTTGGCATTAATTTTTGCAGTTAAAAAGTTTCACAAAATGCTACATGGTAGAAAATTTACCTTATTCACTGATCATAAACCCCTATTGTCAATTTTTGGATCTAAGAAAGGCATACCAGTTTATACCGCAAACCGCCTCCAACGATGGGCTACAATGCTATTGGGTTATGATTTCGCTATCAAATACAAATCTACCTCTGACTTTGGTCATGCTGATGCATTATCGCGCTTAATGAGTGATCATAAGCTTGAAAATGAAGATACTGTTATCGCTTCTATATCAGTGGAAGAAGACGTAAACAGAATGTTATTAAATTCAACACAAATTCTCCCAGTGACAGCTGCTCAAATCGCTTATCATACTCGCCGCGATCCTATCTTAAGACAACTAGCTACATTTATCCAGCGTGGTTGGCCCCCACGTATAACATCTCATGAACTGAAACAGTATTACCAACGACGCCAATCTTTATCCATCGTAAATGACTGTATTATGCTTACTGATCGCGTAGTGGTTCCAAATAACTTACGCTCAATCGTCTTGCAAAAATTGCACACAGCCCATCCAGGTACTGGAAGAATGAAAGCTATTGCTCGAAGTTATGTATACTGGCCTAACATCGATGAACACATCGAAGATTTCGCGCGTGCGTGCAGAAAATGTGCTACGGTTTCCAAATGTCCACAAAAAGCTGAACTGTATTCTTGGCCATCTCCAAAAGAACCTTGGTCGCGTGTACATATTGATTTTGCTGGTCCATTCCAGGGTTCATATTTCCTCATTTGTGTCGATGCTTACTCAAAATGGCCGGAGGTTATCCCTATGAACCAGGTCACTTTGCAAGACACTATTATGGAATTACGGCAGTTATTCTCCCGTTTTGGAGTCCCAAATATCCTTGTGTCGGATAACGGCACTCAGTTTACTTCGTCCATCTTCTCAGATTTCTGCAAGAGATTTGGAGTCAATCATGTTCGTTCACCTCCATATCATCCACAATCGAATGGTCAAGCCGAAAGGTTTGTGGATACCTTCAAGAGAGCGCTACTGAAGGCAAAAGGGGAGGGGAAGATAAAGGAAATTCTTAATGATTTTCTATTTGTCTACAGAACAACTCCAAACCCGTCAGCACCAAATCAAGTGTCTCCAGCAGAAATTATGTTTGGCAGAAAAGTTAAAACTGCTCTCGATGCAATAAAACCAGAGCGAAATCTCATAGGAAGGAGAAACCGAAAGATGGAAATCCAATTTAATCGCCATCATGGGGCGAAAAATAGAATCTTCCAAAACAACCAAACAGTATACGTCCGTGATTTCAGATACTCACCTCCACAATGGACCAGTGGACGCATACTTAAGAGACGGGGAAATGTAATGTATGTGGTGGAAGTTGAAGGTCAAAAGTGGATACGTCATGTTAACCACATACTGGAAAATTCTGGTACTGCACAGAAAACCGAGAAGCTGAGTTCAATGTGGCAAATCTTCTTGGACAGTTTCGATATTAAAAGTTCAACGACTCACAAAACTGTGCATCCGGAACAAGATCCTATTAGGAGATGGTTACGAAAACGCAGAAGACCAGATGTTCTACAAGTGGACCCAAAGAAAAGAGCATACGTTTCTGAGGGGAGATATCAATGATGATATCTTAACTATTACTTGTAAATAGTGACTAATCATTTTTCTTCTTTTTTTATTTATTCCAGTTGGTCAAATTAGTCACGCTTACACGGATCGCAACGTAAACCGTTTTCACTTATGCACTCAGTTGGATGGCAGTTATAACATTTTTTTTGTCAAGGGGGAAGATGATGTGAACCGGGAAACAAGAAGCCCTGACAAACTACGAAGGCTATTTTCGGAACGTTATTTCATTTTATTCAAAGCTTGTAAAACACTGACATTTATTTTTGTCCCTAATCTATTCTACAGAACATAAGCTTTCGTTCGGTGTATCATTCACTGCCATACCTTTTTCTGTTCCGAAGCTATTGTAATTTAAACATATTATTTTGCACCCTATTTTCTACTCTAATTCCCAGCTTTGGACATAATTGTATTTTTCCTAATTATTGTACGTTGCGGTCGGGTTATTCACTTATTTATTCATGTACCTTTTTACACTAATCCGAATTCAGTGAATTCAGTGAATCCAGTGAGTTCAGTGGTCAGGGAAATAGATCGAGTAGTGTTCCAGTTGTCTTGTCTTCTCTCTCATTCGTGTGCTTGCCCACCAATCAGGTGACAGAATAGTTTTCTTCTCTCTACCCCATCTCGAACTCACGCTTACTAGTCTCAAGGTTAAGCCGATCAGCCTATCGCATCAAGGTCGAAATCTAGATTAGACAAGTATCTTCGGCACCAAAAAGTGGGTAGACAAATCAAGGTCATAACAACTGTCTTCTTTTTGAAGTTGGGTGAGTTTTAAAAGGTCGATTCTTTGGGAACTGTAAAAGGAATTTATACGGGTCATTGCGTCTGCAACTACATTGTTTGCTCCAGAAATGTGTCGAATATCTGAAGTAAACTGCGAAATGTAGTTTAGTCGTCGAGACTCACGTGGTGAGTACTTGTCTGAAGATGAGCTTAAGGAGAAAGTAAGTGGTTTATGGTCGGTAAAAATGGTGAATTCACGGCCTTCAATATAGTGTTGAAAATGCCGGGCAGCACAATACATAGCTAAGAGTTTCCTACCGGATGTGCTGTACCTCGATTCAGTGTCTAGCAACCGTCTAGAGAAAAATGCCAAAGGTTGTCAGGAGTGGTTAACTCATTGTTGTAAGACTGCTCCGATTGCTGAGTCAGATGCGTCTACTGCGATACTAATGGGCGCTTCAGGGTCCTGATGAGCAAGCGTTGTTGCTTGAGCGATGAATTCCTTAACCGTGGAAAATGCTTTTCGTGCAGTATCATCCAGATTGGTGGATTTCGCATTTCCACGAAGCTGGTCGGTAAGGGGTTTCATAAGGGACGCGCATTTTGGTATGAATCGTCTATTAAAACTTACGAGACCGTTAAACGTGCGCAATTGCTTGATGGTGATCGGTTCTGGGTAATCTAGAATGGCCGCCACTTTTATTTTAAGGGGTCGGATACCTTGCGCATCGATAGTTTGTCCTAAGAAGTCTAAGGGGTCGGTTCCGATTTGGCATTTCTGAATGTTTGTAGTGGCATCGGATCATTTTACTATTATAATCCCACTTTGTTTAGCTCAAATAATCTTTACCTTAATTTTCATTTTAAGCGTGTTAAGCATTAAACCAGACGTTTTAAAGTTGTTATATGTATTTCCCGACCAGATTCTGCCTCCTTCTTTTCGATTTATCTTCCAGCTTACCAATACCCGGTGGATTCTTATCATTTTTGGCAACCTCCGGCGCGCGACAATCCCATCCGATTCGGTATCGAACCAACATCACGTTGATTCTGGTGGGAGAGTAGTGTAGTGGCATCGGATCATAACCACAAAATCCTCGAAGCTGAACACGAGACTACTCGGAAAATAGATAATCAATATTTAACGCGGAGGAATACCCAACGATGGAGAAGGCGGGAATAATAAATTGATTAATCTGAGTTGATCGGATGGCATGGCTCGGCCTTGCAGGCGTGGTCTCATCTGAATGTTATCTTGTGTAGACGATGATGTAACTTCCACGTAAGGTCTTATAAATTAGGCAGTTACATCATGATAAATCTACAATTTTAGGATTAGGTCTATTATTAGAGCAGTGCTAATATCATAATAGACCGTAATTCTAAATGTTTACAGTAATGCCATGTTTTTGTAGTCGGTCAAAAACAAGATCCAGATGCTGGAGATGTGATTCTCTGTCCGGACTTGCTATTAGGCAGTCATCAACATACGCATGTACGAAGTTGAGACCTCGAAAAACGTCATTTATGAACCTTTGAAAAGTCTGTGCCAAGTTTCTTAGACCGAAAGGCACTCGCAAAAATTCATAGAGAACGAATGTCGTCAGTGGTCGATTTTCGAAAAGACAGTTGTACCTTTCAAGGTAGCTGTCAAATCGTGAATGTGGGGCAACGGGTAACGATCGGAAATGGTTTTCGCATTCAGTCGCCAACAGTCACCAGTTGGACGTCAATCGTTGCTGTCCATTTTAGGGACCATGTGCAACGGAGATGCCCATGGGTTATTTGAAGGTCGTATGATTCCTAAGTCTCTCATATGGTCAAATTCGTTTTTCGCCAACCTTAACATTTCGGGGGCCAGTCGGCGTGCTTTCGAGAAGACAGGTGGTCCTGTAGTCGTGTAACGTTGCTGGTTACACACGGCAATTTCGGTTGCGATTGGTAAATACCAGAATACTAATCGAGCATTGGTTGATGGAAGGGGTTTATAGTGTGCCTAATAGTGACAGGAGATAACCTTCAACCAAAAAAGAAATCAGGCAAACAGATAAATTAGTATTTCCATCTGCTAGCCTCCTTTTACGCGTATCGACAATTAAATTGTGATGCTGTAGAAGGTCCATACCAACGATTGGCATAGAAACATCTGCAACAACAAAAATCCAGTGAATGGGTTTGCGTAAATCCACGTTAAGATAAACATACCCTTTGCCATACGTAGCGATAGGCCTTCCGTTTGCCGCCTGTAGATTTAAAACCGACTCGTGAAGCCGGTCGTTGGAATTCGCTGGGAGAACGCTAACCTCTGCGCCAGTATCTACGAGTTAGCGAACTCTCGTTATCACATCAGTGACATATAAAAGACGGCTATGTTCGCCGGCTACGGTCGCCGTTAACGCGTGCCGGCTTGGAAGTTTCTTCGCGTCGACGGATTTCGCGTTGGGGAAATTGCAGGGTTTTCTGCAATTTCTGGCAGACTTTCCGTACTGGTTATGGTACCAGCACCAATCAGGATTATCCGTCTCTCGAGTTCTAGATACAGATCGCCTACGTGATGTGCTTCTCCGCGGAGTAAGTGATCGTTTACGGTCGTTACCGAGTTTGAGATAGCGCGTTAGTGTATGACATAACTGTGTTATGTCATTCCGGGTCGTTTGAGGCCTTTCTTTCACTGAAAAAACCTCGGCGTTAGAAGATCTAGTGATTTTGAGAATGCGGTCGGCAGATGCAGCTAGCTCGTCTACGGCATTGTTTTGGAACGAGACCAGCGCAGCTTGCACATGTTGAGGAAGTTTTGATAAGAAAAGTTGTTTGAATAGGCCGTCATCGAAGGTTCTTTGGCCAATGGCTTCTCGCATTCTTTGAAACATGTCTGTGGCAGAACCGTGTTGCAGGTCGATGTTGTTGAGGAGTTGGTCTAAACTTTGTCGATCGGTTAGATCTCCGCGTTTAAAGATGGCCTGTTTCAGTGTTTGGTATGGATCAGAAACATCACTAGTAAACATACTAGGTGTTACGTACCTGTTGAATTCGCGCGGTAGTGCCTTGACTACTGCGAGGAATTGTGCACGTGTGTCGTTCACACCGTGCTCGTAGAAGTCAGCTTCTGCGTAGCAAAACTAGGCTTTGATGTTGCCTGACCAGAAGGGCATAAGTTGGAAGGAAGGTGGGGACACAGTCTTTAACTTAAATACCTTAGGTGTCTGTTCAGCAATAGGGAAATATCAAGTACGAAAAATGAACGAGTGAAAAATATATATATATATATCCAAAAACACGGGAAAAAATCAAGATGTATGAAAAATTAAAATAAGACAATGATATATAAAATCAAAAAAAGGAACAGACTCACAGTTTGCAATTTAGTGTACCAGATCACATCGGGCTCACCAATGAAGATGCCACAGGTTTTCGGAGTTTGACAACGCTTTAACCAAAAACACCATCTAATATGAAGCGCACCCACCAAGTAAAATCAAAAGACAGAAGCGAGGAGATCGAAGATATTTTTGATAAGCTATCAATATGTCAAGGATCATTCGCACTAATCTGGCAGATGTTGGGCACGGCGTTCGTACACGTGATCTGGTGCGGATGCTTGACCGAGCGCCTTCAGCTAGATGAGTCCACTGAAACTGTGGTCAGTATCCAATGTCGAAAACTTGCAGAGCTATTTATTTTGGGGATTTATTTACCGCTACAGTCATCAAAGCAATCAGTGCCATATTTACCTGTTCTTTCTGGTTTATGAATTTCTGTGAACACAAATAAACGTCATTACACCCGACAAGAAATGAATTAACGAGTTCACTTCACTCACGTATTATTATTATTTAGAGGTCTTTCATTGTTGTGGCTACTGTATTTTGTTGTGGTGTATGCCACTTATGTCGACGGATGTAAGTAGTGTGTTACATCAATTGAAAGTACAAACACTGTCGGAAGAAGGCTAAGAATATCAAGTTGAAGAGAAAACAGGAACACAATTAGAAGAAAATTGTGAATCAGAAGAACCGTACAGAATATGAAAGACAAATGTTGAAAATTTGCAAATGTAGTGTTCAATGTATGCCTCTCATATATTACCGAGGTACTCTGTAATTGCGTACCGAAATAAAGTGTTTATCTCAGCCTATGCTTCCGTTCACTACAAAACCGCAGTCGATAGATCCTCATCACAATTAATTTTAGAGTTGACTGCTATTAATACAACATAAATCACCGCTGAAGTCAACTACCGTTGATCGTGCTTTCGTTGGAAACCCGACTAAACGAACGTACATTATGTTTTTTCAATAAAGTTGTCCGCATCTTATTTCACCTTTGATTATATGTCGATCTATAACGGCCAAGGATGCTAGACAGGTTTACTGATGCCCTTCGTCTACGAACACTCACTAAATTCATCTTATAGGACAAACGAGGTAATTAGTGATAATAAACCTAAACACAGAGAGCACGCCACTTATTTACATATCGCAAGCCATTTGTGATTGCCTCCAAGCATGTCGGAATACTTTTATTAAACAAGCAACAAAGTTTGGATACATACATCTCAAGACGTTTCCTGTGTCTCTTTTGTTATCATACAAAAGAGATTTATAAAAATGTAAGTTCAATAAGCGGCATGTTCAAACATGGTACTTTACATATATTTGTCTACAAATTTCCCCCAAAACGATGACGCAAGGGGAAAAAATGAACATTTCTAAATACCCAACGTCAGGGAAAAAATCGACTCTTCCCCTTTATTTACTCTCGTCTTCTTTATTTGTTGTTCGGGTCTAGGCGAGAGGTAGACAATTAGACGTGTAATTCCGCGAAGGGTAGACAATTCAGCGGTGTAGTGTGGCGTCGAGTCCCGTTTGACAATGACCACTACTACAAGTAGATTGCGCACCAGAACAGGCTAAGCCTCCGAGTAAACCAGAAATCAGAAGGCGGTTGAAGGTTGTACCAAGATATATTAGTTGGCGATCTCGTGGTATCGAAATAATACCGAGATCGTACCAAAGGAGTACAAGTGGAACTACTGAGCGAACGTAATTTTGTGCAGGGTGACAAACAACGGAAGGAAAAATGTCTTTTGTACCGTTAAACAAACAAGTACAGTAAAAAAAACCACTGGTACAATTGGTTATAATAATAATTGCTTGCATTACACCAATCGCGTACTCTTGACAAAAGTAAATCACCACAGATGTATCAAACAGAGTGACAAAAAGGATAAAATCCGCATTGTTTACCCATGACAGGTGGAAAGGAGTATTTTTGGCACGTTTACCCACGATTTTCCCTTTATTTCCGCTTTATTGGTTGCTTAAGCAGCCTCAATCGAGGCTAAATCGGCACTAGAGCTCATGCTTTAAACAAGGTTTAGTCAAGCGTCATCAGTTTTTCATTAGAAATCCTAGACGGTTCTATAGTAGGCAAGTAATTAATTTCAGCCTGTGGTGCACCGTGTCTTCCACTAGGTTGTCACTACACTACCGTGAAGTTATCGCTCGTTAAGTAGACTACTTCGTTGGAGTAATAGTGCCGACAAGCTTGATGTATTTATTTTCAGTAAAGCATGCCGTTCTGCTGTTAGTTATTGGAAACGTAGCACCTATTTTCAGTCCACCAATACGTACTAAAAATTTTGAAAGTTTCTGTCCATACAGTTGAAACTAAAGTCATAAGTTAAACGTTAATTTTTTATTTCGACCTTGCCAACTGGATAGATGTATTGTCTGATCTTTTCTGACTTTATGTATACTATTTGTACTGAATAATACAAAGTGAACTTAGTGAAAGTAGAATATGCCATATTTCTAAAAAACAACGGTAGCTTCATAAGGGAAATTACACTTCACTAGTCCAGCAGTTGTTTTATGGATCATAATCCAGTCAATAACTCCAGTGTTGCACGAAGGTCGTTCAAGATTAACTATCTGTCGAAAACCAACACTACGAATAGCTTTAAGCCAGCACACTGTTGGATAATAACTTGGCCTCTTTTGATGACGATTAACTTCAAGGACGAGATCTTAGCAGAAATGCTGTAGCTGTACTGAAGTGTGAAGCAGAATATTAACCACCACTCGCGATTGTTTGAAACAGTTAGATCATACCAGAGGCAGAAAATGCAAGCTTATTGAATTTTTTCCATGACTTTTTGAGAGTAACCTATAAAGTCGAAAATAAACCTAGTCTTGCAGAAATTTCGAACTAACCTTTTGAGCCTGTTTCTTAAAAAAAGAAGGTGAAACAAATAGATGTCATAATTCATATGATATTTCGCAAAACGGTATAACCAACAGAATCAAGTGTACATTACGTTGCGTTATCACACTAAAAGATTTAAAATGACGCCAAAGTGTTAATAATCACGATGATAACTGTTATTGATAGAATTTAGAAAGTTTACAATATCGCCCAGTATATTCAAACTCACTAAAATTCTCTTCCGATAAAACAATATGAATCTCTAAGAACAGAGACATGAAACAAATAGAGCCGGAAGTTTTAGGGTAAAACTTAACGGGTTTGAAGTTCATCAGCTACAACTGTTTAGAACTGTGTGAAAACACACAAGGAAACTTTTTCATGGTTTACATCTTATAGAAAGATAATTCAACTTGATGATCCAATCATCCTCTAGAAAAACAAGTTAACCAAAGAATGTATATAGGATCCATCAGCATTATTTCATTTGAGATTGTGGGCTAGCCTCAAATCTGAGACTGCCTCTAACATCAAAATATTGGATGAAGAAATCACGTATAACATAACGACTACTATTTATTACTTTTAAGCACTAACTATCAATGTACTTCGAATAACTGTAATTTTATTAGCACTCATTCCTCTTAACATTCGAATACACAAAAGATCAAGTCTCCCATGAAAATTCTGATTTCATTACTCTATAATAGACTGGCAAGCAGTTTTAACTGTTAGTTAATAATGTCCTAGAGGACGCCACTGTTGCACCTCGACCAGTATTTTATTATTTTCTATTCACGATTGGTCGAATGTTTGTGAGAGACAAAGGTAAAACTTATTAGAAGTGCGGCATTAGCGTCGTCTGAAAGTATCGAAGGCAACCACGTATAAAGCTATAGTTCTTTACATTTTGTGGAAAGTAGTAATGCACAGTTCATTTTCTAATCATCTAATTACTTAGCTGCATATATGATCATCTTTTGTTGATCAAAGTATAAAATGAATAGATATACATCTGAATACTAGAAAAAAGTTTATTTTAATAATTAGGGAGTTTACAACATATTAAAAGTACAAGTTATATTGGAATAAGGCTAAGCAATCATGCTGTTAATAGTCATAGGACTGGAGGCTACTCTTAACTGAGATGTTTAGCGTCATATTATTATCTGTATAAATAGAAGAAACTTTTAAAAGTAGAAGTATTTATGTTTATCTTAAAAGAACACAGTTATCCTTTCATAACTGATTAATGGATATAAGAAGAATATTATGAAAGCCCCATTGTTAAAGCCAATAAAAAAGGATATGTTTATCACAAGGAGTTTCGTTCACTGAGATATAAATAACTAATGATATATATCTATCTATTTAATTATTGGCAGTATGTCTAAGTAGTGTTTATTCTCAGTTTTGTCGAATAAAAGCTTACTAGTTATATTGTACATATTTGTTTATGTTTATAAATTAAAATGAACTAAATTTTATACTTCCTCGTATACCCATACATTGTACTTCATCAATAAACAAAGTTGCAGCTTTAATTTGAATTTCTTCCTCCAAATCCAACTGACGACGACATAGAGCTTTTAAGGAGGCGTGTGCTGCATGTAACCTTTGTCTAAGTTGTTCAATATCACGTTTAATTTCTTCTACTTCTTGAATTAATCTAGTAAAGTAAAAATATTACGAAAAGGAACAAATGAATTTGTGATAAATTTATTAAACTCTGCTCACGTAATTACTTCAATGAAAATTTTAAAAGTCGATACTAGATGGGATCACTAAACAAACAAAAAAACTTATATTACCTTCTTTATAATGAGTGGGCTTAATTTAAATTCACATTAAAGAATGTTTAAATAAATATGGTCACATAATAAGACTATCAAGATTAAAAATGTGCCAAACAGATTTATGGATTACCTTGCCTTCGCAGTATATAAAAAGTGTATTCATATTTTTTCACTTAGGGATTGAATGTTTCGTGTGATCGTGAGCTGTGATTGAAAACCAAGTGAGAACAAACAGGAATCTTTACGTTAACTACAACACAGCTGGATTTACTAGGCATGAACTGTTTGCGGCTTATAATCTGATTGTATGTTTTTGGTATGACGTTGTCCAGTCTATATCTAATGGATAGAATAACAGAGTTATCCTGTTATCTCGTGGACGCGAAAAACTGATATTTTTATATAAGAACACAGCTCCTTCAATGGCTTCGATTTAAATAGCATCAACTCTCGACCATTAATCTTAGATTATTTGATAGATAGTAAAATATCAAACTCATAGTATTGTTTCATACGTCTACAAATGTTGTCATTACCATATAGTTAGGATTGAAAGTAATTCGCGTATTAATTTATTGATAAAAACCTTACTCTTTACACTAATGCTTTTTATAATGAGTATATATATATAACAAACTCAGAAAATCATAGATACTGTTGAAGATACTAATAGAAATTTAAATTCACTTACCGATAATTTGCTGGATCTCGACATAATTCAACATTTGGTCTTTCTTTACGTATACCTAAACGAGTTTCAGCTAGACGTAGAGCAACATCTTTATCTTTGATAGCCTTTTCTAATTCTTGAAGCGTATCTTCTATATTTGAAATTTCTTTGATAATCTTAAGGTGAATAGATGGAGAAAATCTACTTCAATCAAAAAAATAGTTTACTAACTTGTATAAATTATATATATATATATATATATATATATATATATATATATATATATCGAATCAGTGAATAAGATTTCACTATCTTATGTATTCAATTTCAGACCATTTTGGTTTAAATAAATGTTAACGGTAAACTATTCGATGTTCTGTTTGACGAAATATTGAGTGATATCAAAAAACAGTATGACATCAGAAAAACCCACATTGGATCAAGTTTGTTTAGTTCATATCCTCATAGCAAAAAGAAACTAACTAGACGGACAGTAAAGTTAATGGTAGCAGAAGACCACACATCAAAAATGTCTTTGAAAAGAAACAGGTGAAATCAAACAATCAAACCTATTCAATTTTACGATGCAAGATCTACAGAAATATAATGAATGAGTGTATTGGCATCCTGAGAAACTAATTATTACTTAAGGTTTCCAGCATTAGTTTACGATTATCTTATGGACATTGGCCACGAAGTGCACCGTTTGGCATGGTTCAGATTAAGAGCCAAAGACTCTGTGGACTTAAACCGTAATCATGGCCTTGACTATTTTTCCCAAACCAGTTCTTATCGCAAATGGAATAAAATATTATCGTAGGTACTTAGCCACTATTAATACATTCTATAACCAACTTAGTTAATAAATGTTCACTACTTTATAAGCCTGTTTGGTATATCTATGTAGTACCCTAGTAAAAATTTATGCACTACTCGGTTAGTTCTGTTATCACATGTGAGCAATTCTTGGAGGCATATACCGCTAAATATTAGCCAAACTTCAGAGACCATATTTCACAGTCTGAAAGTAATACAAAGCAAACATAAAAAGAGAAAGCGAGCATAATGGAAGTATAACTGTATATTAGCTAGTTGATCAGATGAATTGTACAATGAAACTGTATTATTGCTTAGGTAAATGCTTCAGAGAGTCCATAAGGTAAGTAGTATTCTATTATATGATATTCGTGCAACTTGTTTCATCAGTCATTACCAGCCGAGTACACTATATTTAGATTGTTTAGTATTCCTTAAACAAATATCTTGGCAAAATATCCACTGCACTGACCAATACCTAGAAATTATTCGAAATGGATACAGTTCATATTAACTTGGAGATACTATAGTTACAGTTTACTGTTTACGTTTGCATTATTGTGATATACATATGTGTGTTAAATTATAATTAATATAAACTTAATAATTGCAAATAGTTCATAATTTTCGAAAAGAATCAATTTAATATTTCTAAATGGTCATGTTTAGTTCACTTAACATTGCAAGCAATTTCAGTAAAAGCAAGTACTAGGCAAACGATGTTGATTTGAAACTCTATCGAATCATTTAAACATATAACGTTAGTTTGTGATTTAAAACTTCAACTCCGTTGGTTCAATTCGATTTAAAAATTTGTAATGTCATTCATCTTAGTAAAAAAACTGGATACGTAAATATATAAGGCTTGGAAACTCAGTAATTTGATGAAATCATCCTGCTTATTTAGTGTTTTTTTACCTGAATGATAAGAATCTATAAATTACATTAAATGCATTTGTTGATTGATTATACATAGTCATAAAAATAAAAGGTTTAAACAGAAAACGTATAGTAAATGTGTAGTTTAGGACGTCATTATATAAATTAAGATTTATGTTAACACAAAATTTAGGCTCATCATATTTAAAATAATATCTGGATAGCATTAATGTCATTGATGTTTCAACTAGTTAGCACTGATCTATTTCCAAAACTTAAGAAAAAGGATCTTGATAAAATAGACCGTAATGTACAAGTTATATTTGTTGATGTTGACTCTAAATACACATTTCTGTTATGTCATTTATCTGAATTTAAGAAAGCAGTGGTTTTAAACTGTTAGTTAGTGATTACTTGAACTACAAGGAATTAGCAACTTACTGCACTCAAATGCTCTTCTAATTTTGCTTTAGAGCCTCGGGTTTCTGAAATTCTTTTGTTTAAAGCACGATTAGTTGCTTCAATTTGACGTTTTATGTCAGATGCAATTTGTTGTATGATTCCATCAATAATACTTCTTAATTCATGTGAATTTTGCAATTGTCTATCACCATTTTCTACTGAGGCAGTTGAAAATGTTTGCCATTCTTCTGGAGTAAAGGAACTGAAAAATGTATTCAGAAGGTATGTTTAAACTATTTATGAATTAAAGATAATATTTTTTAAAAATGGATGGAAAAGTTGTATACTGAAGGAACACGATAAAATAATGATGGAATGGATTACTAAAAAAATATATGATACATTTACTGCATGTCCATACTTGAGAATACTCCTGGCATTACATCAAGTGATTGACGGAATTAATATTAAGCGCTGTATTTAGAAGTGGAAACAATCTAGTTAGGGTTCGTCTAATTTGCGGTAGAAGAGTCAATATGAAGTGAATCAAAAGCAGTCACGGTATGCGACACATGAACTGATTGTTTTCGTTCTCTAAATATTAAGTTTCAAAATCACTTTATGTTTTGAATTCGTTAACTTCATCTATTTCTCCTCCAATAGATTTTTAAGTTTAGTTTTTATTACCACAAGTACTACTGCTATTTCGATAGTTCTTTTTTTGTGTCTTAGTAATTTTCTCTCACTTTATTAGCACATTGTAATGCACATCTATGGTAAGTTAAACATTTTTGATGACATATTGATTAATTTTTGTTGTCTATTACAATGATATTCACTGGAAATTTCTATTTTCAGAAAAATAGATGGTGGGACTATCTACATACTTCAGAAATAAATTGTTTATTTGTTGAACAGGATTCAAAGTGTTTTGTTAAATTTATTTTGTGTACTATTGTGGAAAACACTCCACGATCGTAAAACGCTAGAATAGTTAAGTGTTTCATTTTAGTTTACCTTGTGCAATAATCAACAACCGGTTAAATTCACTTATTACTATTGATTTGTGAACTTACTTTGGCTCAATTTTTGGAACATTAGTAAATCCAGATAGTAGTTCATCAGTTGGCTTTAAACTAAGAGCATATTCATCAAGATGTTGTGCTTTCAGTTTATCAGAAGAGTCCTTTTTCATATTGTAAATAGCCTTACGATTTAATCTACAATTTAAAGGGTAGCGACTAAAAGTAATTTCAAGGTATGAAAAATATATGTTGATTTCCATTACATTTTAGTGGTTAACATTGAATCGTTATGCAAAATTTGTACATAAACCTGTGACATTCCAGGTAGACACAATAATATCTTAAGATTCATGAACTGAGGATTACAATTTCAGACTAAGTGAATAACGTTTTTTTCCTCTAAATCATAACAGTTTACATTTTTAGTGCAATTGAATTCTTTTTATTGATAAGATTTATTCCTGTTTCTATGAAAGTAAACAGAAACACTGCCCTCAAATGCCTTGGTACGGCCGAGAGTGGAGAGAGTCAGCTCTCCCTCACGAAATGCTCTCACATGGCCACGCGTATGCAGTCACTGCCAGGGAAGTCCTACGCACTGCCTTCTCACCGTGTGAATTTTTACAAAATTGGGAGGATGAAAAGCGAATGTCTGGCACTTTAACCGGGTTGGTGGATATGGAGGATCAACCTAGGGGAGTTAGGACACCCTGATTCCAAACCAATGGTGTACATGGGCTCCAGGATCTCAAGGAAACAAATGGTGTATGAACTAATTGTTGATCACCGGCAACCATGGGACTGTATATCCTTACATTGATCCGCTGCCTCGTCAATCAAACCTTTAGTTCGAAACACTGTCAAGTAATCGTTGATATTTATTGGTTTTTCAGCTTATGTAGACTTGTGCTGAAAATTATTTTCCAATTTAATGAATCTTTACAAACAACATGACTCAATAAAAATTATTTGTTCATAGTAATCAGAAAATATCAATGTGTTTAGATTAGTAAAAACTGTCGGAATGAAAATTCGATATTATTGCAACAGCTGAACAAGCAAAAACCTATTATTATTCTCTTGTATCTTGAAACATTTTTAAACATAATATTTTGTTACATTTCAGATGCATAAAAGTAATGAATAATAAGAATTAGACATGTTGGCTAAGTGTTGCTGTATATAGATCAATTTTACATTAAAATAATGCATAAATAACGAAATTGTGAAATACTTGGTGGATTTCCAAGCAAAAAACAGTTAATGTAGATGAAAATATTTGTTTGGGGGAGCGCAACAGAATGTTAAAGCATAAAGCCATTAGAATCCTGATGATCACATGTTGTATGATTTGATTCATCGGAAACCTGTTTTTGGATCCAAGTGATATGAACCGTTAAAATAATTTTATTTTTGCTGTTCGTAAAGTTCATTACTGTTCTATAACCTACTCAAGTAATACAAACAAATTCGATCGGAACTTGAGACTCAGCGACTACAAGTCAAGTATTAACACTATTAAACCACAAATTTATATATGGATTATTAATAGTATTTACGAAACATATTATTACTAGAAAACAATATCATAAATTTATAGTCATTACGAAAAGTCGCTTAGGTATTGAAATGACTCAAACAATCATAAGATATGGACGTAGTCAATCCATATATCGTGAATGCTTATTGTCGTGTTGATCAATTAAAATACTATACAAGTTTCGGCACACATAATTAAACGCAATCTGTAATACTTCTTATAGTTAAAAGTAGCTTATTCACATTGGTATTTACCTTGTTGTTAATTTCACATGGTATATGCATCAAATAATAAATGCTTTGAACATGATTGTGCATATTACCCCTTATTCTAATACAATACAAGCGTCATTTTATCTCCAAGTGATGGTAAATTCATAGCTACTATAACACGTTTTGTACAGATCTGGGAACTTCTATGGCATATCTATTTCATTATAACATTCATTTATCGATAAATGTTAATGCTAAAATTATATCTCATATTCATTTTATAATGTTCATAATAAAGCCACAAACATATAAACTAAAGTCAATAAATAAATCCATTATCCTAATGGAAAAGCACAACTAATCTAATAATCCCTCATCATATTCATATGATTTACTTTGCCAATAGTATACATATTGTTAAATGAATATAGAACACCGGGTCGAGAAAAAAGTTTTTGTTATCATAATGCATATGATCAAAAAGATACATCAAGAAAAAAGATTTATTAATCAAAAATTAAGGGCTTTTAGGAGCATACATAGTTGTAGGTTTATATATCATATGATAATGATTACTAATAGATAATTTTATATGATCATTTAAAAATAATATCATTACCATAATGTGAAAAACCAAGCACACAACTATAGCGTGCTCATTTACGATAACGTAAGTGATGGTTATAAAGAGTTTACTTCATATTTGTTTAAGTTATTCTTTTGACAAAAAATGACTTTATAGAGTAGTTTAAAATCAATTGACTTGATCCCATTATTAAATGTTTCCACAAAATAACAGTTGAATTATGTGGAATAATTTCATTGTAGTTCCAAAATTTTCAAGTTATTACAACTAAGTACTATTCGAATTAGACTGTGCACTTCCAAAATTTAAAATTATTACACTAACGACAAATTGTGAAATTAAATTATGGTGATTCGGTTAGTATCTACTTTTGTTTCTAGATCAACTGAGTACGTCACCAAAACTAAAATTCTCCAACACTTCGAAGTCTTATTTGAACAAAAGATAGTGTGAATCTCCAGCTTAACATTCTCTTGTGATAATGGACACTGCTAGTCTGGAAAGCTGCACAGAATATTGATCACGGTGAATCATGTTACAAAGCTATTGTGGAATTATGTTCAAAAGCGATTAACAAGTTTTCCTTTTAGATTTCATTCAGCAGCAAACATTACTTACCGCAATATCCACCATAATTTTAACTGAATAATCTATAACTACATACATCTTGTATAAATTAAAAATCTTATGTGCAGGGCAATAACAAAATGTAGGTTTTTATAATCTGTTTGAAGTCACATTTTTATGCGAGTCTTAGTGATACTCCACAACTAATGTAACAGAAGTAGAGTTTAAGTTTATAACTCCTAACTAATAAAAAAGTAAGTTGAGCCGTAAGGTTTACCAATGTCTAACATATATGACATGGTTTTTATTAGATATATTATTTAAGAAAAACCATTAGTGTGGTATTATGAGTATAATTAGGTGATGTTTTGTTTCGGTGCAAAAAGCATCCAATTAAAGTGAACTCATGTAGCCTAAAGACGTCAGTTTAAGAGATATAAATGTTTGGAAGTAAGATGGATGAGTTCCTCAGAAACCTAATAGATGAGAAACAGAAATGTGGACTAGGTGATTTGTATACTATTTTGTATTCATGATAACTCTACTTATAATCGTTAGAAAACAAAATACGTAGCCAATATATGAGTGCCGTGTTTACCAAGTATTGTGCCTCCTATTTTACGTTGGTGACAAATTTAGCAATTTGAACAAACTTCAGACTGGAAATTGATTTTATTGGTGATTAGTGAACTGGTAGCAATTTTCATCCCAAAACATTCAAACTATAACTAACTAAGTATATTGAATAGCAGATCAATTTTCAATTTCAACGACAGATACTAGTCAAATTCGATAAACTAATTGTTACATGACTCACTTACTGTACATTTACTTACCATGACTGGTAACAACTCTATCTCTAGTATATGTAATTCAGTAGCAAACATTTAAATGTGGGCCGACTACCTCGAGAGGCAGGATATAACTTAGTCGCTAGTATAAAGTCGTTCCGAGACAGTTTTAACTATTCACTACACCTGCAGTTTCTCAATAACTTGAGTAAATACACCTATACGTTCTGTTGTAAATAGTTAAAAGACTATTTTTGGTCGCTACATTTATTCCATCTGTTAAGTGCAATATAAACAATCATAACCTATAAGGAATTAATTTGAACTATTTAGATTGTCTTATTTTGGAAGCCTGATAGCTAACAAATTAAGCGATTGTTTAGAAGACTGAGAATATATCGAAGACTGCATACAGTAGTAAACTATGTAACTATGTATTTAGAAAAAGTAGCTAAACTATGAAGGCGTTAACTCATGGACTAATGAACATTTAGTGCATTTTTTCGGCTTTTGTTGTAGTATATCAGTCATAAAACTAATCTCAAAACATTTTGCTGTTATATAGACAGTGACAAAAACATGAATTTCAGGTCACTCTAAATGTAAAAAGTTCGAACAGCAGTAGATATGACTGAATTTATTTTGAACATCGATAAGGAGACAGGTTGTTTCTTTTTATCAGTAAATAAAGTAGCAACATGAATTCGTGGGATTAATAGCCAAGGAAGCGTGACAGTCATACTGAGTAATGAGTCGGTAATCTCTAACTAAACAAATGGATTTTAGACAGTTGCTATACTTTCAATCCAGCAAACATTGAAAATGCCAGAGAGTAAGGATGATACATTCCAGTCAGACAATGAATTATTACTTGGGGATTATCTACACACCCAAGAAATGGAAGTAAACCATCTTCGACTTCTATTATTACACGATTTGTGTTTAAAGTCTGAAAACGTTATTTGAGAAACAGTATATTGGGTTAACTTAAGAGTACAAATGTAGCTTTACACCAGATTTCACCATTAGACTGCCGTCACCCAGTGCTTATAAACTCAGGATGATTATAATTGAGTATGGTAAAAATGTCGTTGCAAAATTATTGAATGTCAATGTCACTATAGATGATTCTAGTATCACACCATCTACCATAGAAAAAGACGTGAGCATTAACGCTTCATGATGTGCTTTTTATCTATGTCAATTTTCATTGTCAGGTAGTAAAAACTACAGGTAACAAACTGGATCAACCAAAAGTCAAGAGGTCTCATGAGAAGTAGGCTTTGTCTTTCATCAATTAATGGGTTTAAAATAATTTGAATCGTGCGAAAGAAAATATGAGAATGATATATATTCCAAAACTTGCCTCAGTTGTTCTTTAGTTTGCTCAACAGTTCTCTGTAGGATTGCTTGAGCTCCTTTAATTACTTCTATCTCTTTTGTGAGCTCCATTTGTGCATCGTCGTGGACGAGATCAATACCTGTTCTTCCCTCACTGAGAAACGGCCGAAATAACAAACTTTTACTGAACCTACCGACTGAGCAAACACTGCTGAGCGAAGTGAAGAGGTTCTTCGGTTGCTTCGAGAGTTTTCCTTAATCGGATAAAGTACTCATCCAATATTTCAGTTTCCTCTGTAGTATCCTGCAGTTTTTTGTTGACTTCTGATTTCCAGTATTTAACGTTAGCAATTCTTTGATCTGGTAAATAAAACGTTTCATACAACAACGACCTACCAAACTTTTTCTCCACATCTTTCAGGGTTTTTTCAGTGCGTTTAGCTGTCTCCTCAATGAGTCTATCACACTCATTTTGTAGTCCTTGTGATATTTCACGTTCCTTCTCTGCACTGCGGTACTTCAAATTGTTGCTATACGTCCATTCTTCATGTGTAAAGCGTTGAGGTTGCCGCACCAATCCGGCCATTATGAGTTTTTTTGTAATCTAGTTTCAAACCGTTTTGAAATTTTGCGCTTCATGTCGTCATAACAATAAATCCACAAATTGATTATGGTAGAGGAAATACCATTAAATCTTTTTAATAAAAGGAATCCTTTTAAAAAATGTACAATATATGATACATATGCTTTTGTTACACACGGGGAAGGCGGCGCTCTTTTAAATACCAGGTGAAACATGAAGGAAGAGGACGAACTTAACCTCACTGTGATCCAAACGTACGACAAGTATTGCACACAAATTCTGGACAAGTCTCCAAGTGCCCATGTGTATTCATTTCAGAGTGATAAAAATGCATGGGTAAGTCCTTGATTCCTTCAACGCTTATGAGTACAACTTTGTTGTATTCTGGCTTTCAGCTCTATGTGTTTGTCTGATAGTTATAATGATAATTCTAAACCTTTGACTCAAACAACTGGCTCTGAAGTCTTTTAAGAACTTTTCTTAGTTGGAAATGGACATCTACACGTATACCCGGTGCAAAAGTTAATGCATTTGCGTTTCAATCCTCTTATCCGTTCCATTATCTTGATAGGGAAGACGTAAATGTCTGTTCATTTGCTGAGATTTGAGTCATATCTGCCTTTCGCACTGGAAATATCACCTGATTTAGTGCGTTTTACTGGTTGTGGCGTGTTACAAGTCCATTACTCAATTCATGAGTAGCGTTTTCACTGGAGTTGGTGTTGTGGTTGAACTAGACTTGAATAATAATCACTTACCCCATAATATTCCGATGACGTTCTTCTGATGTGGTGAGACACATCACTATATGAGAGCTGAATCCTGTTTTGTCCTTTGTGTATTCAGTACATGCCTTTAGTGTGTATATAGCTATTATTACTCCCATGTAATCGTCAAATAGTTGGCTCTGAAGTCTTATATAAACGATATTTACCGGAATCCGTGTGTATGCATACATTGTTCTAGCAAGACCCATTATATTTGGTAAGTAAGACGTTTGTACACTAGTCGGGTAGACGTCAGTCAGTCAGAAACAACGTAGAACTTCGTACGTACGTACATCAGTTCGAGTTGCCATACCACATTAGCACAGATATTCAGTTATCGTCTCAAATCCCGTAGTTGCAGAGTAGTGAAAGTATAAGTAGTGACAGGAAACGTTAAGGTTTGATGATGTTATTTAAGGAGTATAGTCCAGTGGAATATATTTGGAAAGAAAATAAAGAACATGGAGAATTCAGAAGATTAGAGTTTGGGAGAACACAGAGAGTGGATGCACCTGCGCCATTGCAAACGATTTTGAGCCATGTCACCCAAGGTCTCTAACCATCGGTTGCTATCATCTCGCGGTCCCAAACCAGGTAGTCTACATCTACCAACACGGCTCAGTCCACTTGTCAGTGACCTCATGGGTTTGTGCCATGTTTTGGTCTGGCCGCCCCTAGCTTTCTTCCAACCTATCCCTACACCATAAAACATCGCACGTCGTGGCAGTCGGTGGTCTGGCATGCGCAACACATGTCCCAGCCATCTCAACTGATTAAGTTTCACTGCTTCGTCAGTTGATTTGCCATCCTTACCTAGTACCGGTTTCCTAACAACTGCATTACTTACTCGGTGGTCCCATGATATACGAGCAATGTTTCGAAGACACCTATGATCAAATACTAGTAACCTACGAATATCCTCTACTCTTACTCAGTCAGTCAGCTGCAACGTAGGACCAGGCACGTATATGCATCGGTCCAAGTTGCCATACCGCATTAGCACAAGATGAACACCGGATTCATAGAAGTAGTTAATTCAGTGGTGGTAATATAAAGAAGAAAGAGTGTGTATACGGAGACAGTAAAGGAAGATAGAATTAGTTCCTAGAAAGAAAGATTTGAAGTTATTTTAATCTCTTAGTTTAAAGGAAGACAGAGAGTGTATACACCGACGCCATTGTGATCGATTCTGAGCCATGTCACCAAGAGTCTCCAACCATTGGTTCCGATAGTCACGCGGACCCCAACCAGGCAGTCTGCATCTACCAACATGGCTCAGACCAGAAGTTAGTGACTTCAAGCACTGATGCCACGTTTTGGTTTGGCCGCCCCTAACTTTCTTCCAACCATCCCTAACACCGGTTAGCATTGCGCGCCGTGGTAATCGGTGTTCAGGCATACGCAGCACATGGCCCAACCATCTCAGTCGATGAAGATTCATAACCTCATCAACTGATTTACCATCATTCCCTAATACCCTGCGTCTAACCTCACTATTACTTACCCGGTGATCCCAGCAGATACCCGCAATATTTCTAAGGCACCTGTGGTCAAATACTAGTAACTTACGAATATCTTCTACTCTTAAAGGTCATGTTTCGCAGCCGTATAGTAGAACGGAACAAACTGCCGCGCAGTATACTCGTCCCTTAATTGATAGACGGATATCTCGCCTTCGCCATAGATGACGTAAGTTGGCAAAGGCCAAGCGAGCTTTTCGAATCCGTGCTGAGATTTCGTCAGACACCAACCCATTAGGGCTGATCAGACTTCCAAGACAAGTGAAGTTGTCGACGTGTTCGACTACTTCACCCCCTACCCTTAGTTCAGGTGTTGACGCAGACCAGTCCTGAAGCAACAACTTGCATTTGGAGGGAGAGAAGCGCATCCCAAACATTCTGGCATTGTTGTCCAGTGCTAACAAAAGACTCTGCATTTCATTAGCGTCTTCACCAAACAGAACTATGTCATCTGCGTATTCTAAGTCGATAAGTGGACCTCCTGGTAGGAGATCAATACCTGAGAATTCAGTCGATGGGAGCGTTATTTCCATCATGAGGTCTATGATGAAGTTAAACAAAAATGGAGAAAGTGGACAGCTTTGGCGGACGCCACTTGAGGTTGCAAAAGCAGATGACAGTTCGCCATAAGCTCTGACTCGACTAGTAGTGTTCGAGTAAAGAGCCTTCACAAGGTTTATGTACTTCTGAGGTACGCCTTTCAATGACAGACACTGCTACAGAACCTCTCGGTCAACAGAGTCAAACGCTGCTTTTAAGTCAAGGAAGACCACCATTGTCGGACGCCGATAAGTATGCCTGTGTTCTAGAACCTGACGAATGGTGAATATGTGGTCGATGCAGCCACGACCAGGTCTGAAGCCAGCCTGATTTTCACGTGTTTGCAGTTCACGAGTCTTAGTTAGGCGTCCGATAATTATCGAAGCTAGTATTTTAGATATTATATTAGTTAAATTAATCCCTCTGTGGTTGTCACAGGATGATTTTGACCCCTTCTTAAATATTGGGACGATAAGTGATTGTGACCAGTTAGAGGGAATAACGTCTAACTCCCAGATTTTAGCTAAAATATTAGTCAACCTAATCGCTAAAACTAGACCACCATCCTTAAAGACCTCTGGAGCCAATCCATCTGGACCAGCTACCCTTCCTCGTTTCAGATTAACTATAGCCTTTTGAACTTCAGCTAGAGTTGGGGGACCTACTTCAATGTTCCGTTCACACTGTCTGTGAATGGGGTGTAGTTGTAGAGTAGCTGAAGGCCAGCTAAACTGCTCCTTAAAATGTTCCGCCCATCGTTCTAAGCGTCTGGACTGGGAGCAGATGAGAGTGTCGTCTTTTTCCGAAATAGTCTGACTTACACTTGATTTATTAATTCCAGTTTCTTTTATTGGTCTGTAGAGTTGTCTTGTGTTCCCTATAGCCGCCGCCTTTTCAATCTCTTTTGCTTTCGTTGCCCACCACTGCTCACGATCGTTCCTTAGACTTTTGCTTAACCTAGATCTGATTTGTTTACGCTCTTCATCGTGTTCAGAACCTGATTGGATGAGTTTACGAGAATCTATCAGTGCAATAGACTTTGAAGAAATCCATTGGTTCTTTGTAACCCTGTGGTTTAAATCACTAGTAGATGTCACTGCTGTTTCCACAGCTGCTTGTATAACTTTCCAAGCAACATCTGAGTCAGCCTCGTTTTCAGAACTACCTAAGTGTGACCTCAGTTGTTCCTGGAACCTACTTTTGGTTTTCTCATTACTCAATTCGGTTCTAATGAGTCTTTTTTGTGTGGCTTTTTTGCGTCCAGTGAGGTGCAAGCAGATGCGTGCTCGTATTAGGGCATGGTCGGAGTCCAAGCAGGTACTCCAGAATGAGCGACAATCTTCTATTGACCCTCTCCAACGATGACTGATGGCAATATGGTCTATTTGAGTCCATCGTTGGTTTGGTGCAGGGGGTTGCCATGTTAGACGATGTCTCTCCTTATGCTTAAAATTTGTGTTTGCTAAAAATAAACGATTGTCTGATAAAAGTTGCAGCAGACGATCACCATTATCTGTTCTCTGTGCCGGAATACTAAAATACCCACCTAAATGTCTTTCTGTTTCGTTTAAGCTACCTACCTGGGCATTAAAGTCGCCTGCTACGAGTACTATGTCTGAACGTTTAGCTTTCTGAAGAAGTTCAGACAGCTTTCTGTAAAATTCATCTTTCACTTCGTCCGAACTGCAGTCAGTGGGAGCGTAGGCAGAAACGACGAAAAGGCAACGACGTGTGTCCCTATCCTTCCGAGTTCTTACGGAGCCGTTTAGCCGAACAGCGCATAGACGACTGTTAACGGGGATCCACTCTAATAGCGCTTGTTCTGCCCTCATGCTAAGTGCTATGCCTACACCTGCCAGTCCACGAGAACTAGCCATCGGGTCGCCGGATACACGCAGGGTGTATCTCGTCGGCTCTCCTTTTTGCCGAGGTGAGGTCAAGTGAATGACCACACTAGGATCCTGTATGCGTGTTTCGGAGACACAGCATACATCAATGGTACGAGATTCTAAGGTTTTAGCCAAGGAAGCCTGCTGACCGATTTGGCATAGTGTGTGTACGTTGAAGGCTCCAATGTGTAGTTTGGAGCGAGGTTTCAGTAGACCTGGGACAGTGTTTTGCGCACTAGAATCGTTGACTGTGGTGACACTTGAGGGGGAAGCCGAAAGAGGGAGTTTAGATTTGAAAGTCGATGTAAGAGGAATAATAGGAATTGAAGAGGGAGGTTGATTATGAATACAGTGGTCTTGTTTATTATTTATTTATTTGAACACATAAATATTGGTACAGGGGGGCACCAAATATATATGCGCTACACAAAACAGTGATAATTTGAAGGGAAGGAGAAGAGAGAAAAAAAAGTAATGAACGTGGGGAATTATAAAAAAAAAAGAGAGAGAGAGAACAAAGGTGGGGGAAACGGAAAGGTACAATCAGAAGAGATCTTTCAGTTAAGGAAGATACAACCACTTTTTATGAAGAAAGTAAAAGAAGGTTACAGCAGGATCGCCACTGGCTTCTATTCTGAGCCATATCTGATAACGTCTCTAGCCACTGCGTTACACCGTCTCTCGGACCCCAACCAGGGAGTCGTGAAGGACCAACAGAAGCTAGCCCTTTGCAGCTTTCTTTCATACCACGACACCATGTCATATACCGACCACCTCTCCGCTTTTTCCAACCAGTCCTAGAGTCGGCAAATAATGCACGACGTGGAATTCTCTGGGACGATATTCGTAGAACATGTCCAAGCCACCGAAGTCGGTGTTTCAAGATGGTGACACCAATTTCATTATCGTCTCTGTGACCGAACACTCGATGCCGAACCTCTGGCACGTATAGTGAAAGCCAGAGCGGCTTATGCCAATCTGGGCCATCTGAGGATGTTAGACGATTGCTGGCACAGTGGTCTTGAGTGCTGTTAGAGGTATGAGGGCGGTTATCACTACTCTTACTGGCCATGTTTCACTACTATAAAGTACGGCCGAGAGTGGAGAGAGTTCGCTCTCCCTCTCGAAATGCTCTCACATGGCCATGCGTATATAGCCTCTGCCAGGGAAGTCCTACTCACTGCCTTCTCGTGGCGGGGTGTTGTTTACGAAAATGAGAGAACGGAAGGCGAATGTCTGGCGTTTTAACCGGACCCCAAATCAATGGTGCACATGGGTTCCAGTATCCTGAAGGAACAAATGGCGTATGAACCAATCGTTGGTCACCGGCTACCATGGGACTGCATCTCCTTACGATGCTCCACTGCCTTGTGGGTCAGACGTTCAGGTCAAAGGCTCGGGGTGTGGTCCCCTAAGAAAACCACCTGCTTCGGTTTGGGCACCCGGGCAGTATCACAGCCCTCAAACAAATCAATTGAGATTTGTGTGGCGCATATGTATTTGGTGCCTCCCTGTACCTGTGTTAAAATAAATAAACTCGTCCTTTGGTTACTAGACGGATATCTCGCCTACGCCACAAATGACGCAAGTTGGAAAAAGTTAGTCGAGCCTTCTGTATCCGTGCTGAGATTTCGTCACACACCAGACCACAAGGGCTGATGAGACTTCCAAGATAAGTGAAGCGGTCGACACGCTCAACAACTTCACTCCCTATTACTAGTTCGGGTGGCGATGCAACCCAATCCTGAAGCAACATTTTGCATTTCGAGGGAGAAAATTGCATGCCGAACATGCCTGCATTGTTGCTTAGAGTGGTCAGCAGACTCTGCATTTTGTCAGCGTCTTCACCAAATAGAACTATATCATCGGTATATTCTAAGTCAACAAGTGAATCTCCCGGTAAAAGTTCAACTCCTGGAAATTTAGATGAGGAAAGTGTTATTTCTAAAAGCACGTCAACGGCAAAGTTGAACAAGAATGGAGAGAGTGGACAGCCCTGACGAACACCACTTGAGGCAATCAGTTCTGATGACAGTTCGCCATATGCTCTCACTCGACCAGTTGTGCTCGAGTAGAGAGCCTTTATAAGGTTAATGTACTTCTTTGGTACTCCTTTCAGTGACAAACACTGCCATAGAACCTTACGATCAACAGAGTCAAATGCCGCCTTAAGGTCGAGAAATACTATTATTGTGGGGCGTCTGAATGTGTGTCTATGTTCTAGAACCTGACGTAGTGTGAATATTTGATCTATACAACCACGTCCAGGTCGAAAACCAGCCTGGTTTTCTCTAGTCTGCATTTCACGAGCTTTGGTTAGACGTCAAAGTATTATTGAAGCTAATATTTTAGACACTATGTTAGTCAAACTAATTCCTCTGTGATTGTCACAAGAAGACTTTTGTCCTTTCTCATAAACTGGCACGATCAGTGATTGAGCGCAGTCAGATGGGATTACGTCCAGATCCCAGATTCTACCTAAGACGTCAGTCAATCTTGCTGCTAATACTCTACCACCATCCTTAAAAATCTCAGGGGTAAACCTGTCAGGGCCTGCTGCTCTCCCACGCTTCGGATTTCCTATAGCTTTTTCAACTTCGTAAAGAGTCGGAGGATTCACATTAACTTGCCATTCAGGTAGATTGGAGATCGTGGGAAACCGAAGTGTAGCTGAAGACCAGTTGAAGTGATCCCTAAAGTGTTCTGCCCATCGATCCAATCTCCTGGATTGAGAATGAATAATATGTCCATCTTTCTCTGCGATTGTTTCGCTAACAGTTGGGTTCCTAATCTCGGTTTCCTTAACAAGTCTGAACAGTTGTCTGCTGTTACTTATTGCCGCTGCCTTTTCCATCTCTCTTGCTTTCGCTACCCACCACTGTTCACGATCTTTGCGTAGGCTTCTAGTCAGCTTTTACAATATCTGAGCTGCAGTCAGTGGGAGAGTAGGCAGAGACTACGAAGAGGCAACGACGAGTGTCCCTATCTTTCCGAGTCCTTACTGTTCCGTTTAGTCGGACAGCGCACAAACGACTGTCTACTGGGATCCAGTCTAAGAGAGCTAGTTCCGCCCTAGGACTCAATGCTATACCTACGCCAGCGAGGCCACGGGAAGCAGCATCAGGGCTTCCAGATACACGAAGCTTGAATCGAGCTGGTTTATTACTTTGACATGGTGAGGTCAAATGAATGACACTACTCGGATCCTGTATGCGCGTTTCGGAGACGCAGCACACATCAATGGAGCGAGATTTTTAAGTCCTAGCTAAGGAAACCTGTTGTCCTATTTGGCACAGTGTTCGGACGTTGAAAACTCCTACGTGTAGTTTAGAGCGTAGTTTCAGGAGCCCAGGAATAACGTTCCGCGTACTCGAATCGTTTGCACTAGTGGGGCGAGGTGATAAAGGGACGTAAGAAGGGTTAGTCGTGGAAATGAGAGAGTCATTACGAGGTGTAGGAAGGATTTGAATGTGACCAACGTGGTCTCGTGTGCTGTTATGGGTATGAGGGCTGATGTCACTTCCCGGCTGCCCACATCGTGGAAGGGTATTTCTTGAGGAACCTTAAAAGAAAATCGGGTTAGCGTTGGTCTTAACGACCTGGGTGCGTGACCGCAGAGCCCAAGGGACAACTGCTTGAGGCCGGTCGCGCACGGCCTTTTTGTGGGAGGTTATTAATGTGTTAGCTCCGTTCTTCAAATGGCCTTACCGCCGGAGACGGAAATCCGTGGGGTAAGGTGAGGTGTGACATTTTTAGGGTCAACCTTTTCTAACCCCTTCCTTCCTTGTGAGAAGGCAGCATCGCTGTAGATGCTGGTTGTCTGAGGGAAACACCTTACTGCTGTCACACCTCTGTACAGTCAGCAGTACGACTTCGCCCTTTAGTTGTTGCTTTTAGTCTTACCGTTCTCCAATCGACCTGCCTGGCATGGTAGAACCTGCAGGAACATGTGTTCCAGCCAATATAGCTCGGTTGGGTAATCACGATAGGCAAGCCTGACCACCACGTCAAGGTAGCAGCTACGGTCGAATTATAGATGTTTTCATATATTGAAGATACCATTAAAAATATCCTTAAACCTTGAGTGCCAGTGAAAGAATGTTCACATCAAGTATTTGGAAACGTCGACGAGCTTACGTCACTTAAAAAATAAGGTGGGTATTCATCGGTTTACTAAAAGGCGAGCATATTGCACCCCAGTTTTCCCTGTTTCACTTCTTGGTCCTGAAAGGTGGTATTTGAAGTCGTGAAATATTTGTTGGTTATTACTATTTGATCTTAGATGTCTTTAAGACATTGATTGCGTATAGTAAAATGACCAAGTAGGTGATACCAAGGTTAATCGTTTATTCAAATATAAACATTGGTACAAGGAGGCACCAAATACATATGCGCCACACAGATCTCATTTGATATGTGTGAGGGCTGTGAGACTGTCCGGGTGCCCAAACCGAAGCAGGTGGTTTTCTTAGGGGGCCACACCCCGAGCCTTTGACCCGAAGATCTGATCCACAAGGTAGTGGAGCATCGTAAGGAGATGCAGTCCCATGGTAGCCGGTGACCAACGATTGGTTCATACGCCATTTGTTCCTTCAGGATACTGGAACCCATGTGCACCATTGGTTTGGAATCCGGTTAAAGCACCGGACATTCGCTTTTCGTTCTCTCATTTTCGTAAACAACACCCCGCCACGAGAAGGCAGTGAGTAGGACTTCCCTGGCAGAGGCTATATACGCATGGCCATGTGAGAGCATTTCGAGAGGGAGAGTAGACTCTCCCCACTCTCGGCCGTACCAGAGCATTTGGGGGCGACGTAAGGAAATACAGTCTTATGGTTACCGGTGACCAGCAATTGGTTCATACGCCATTTGTTCCCTCAGGATACTGGAGCCTATGTAGATAATTGGTTTGGAATCAGGGTTTTCCAACTCCCCTAGGTGGATCCTCCATATCCACCAACCCGTTTAAAGCGCCATACACTTGCTTTCCGTCCTGTCTATTTTGTGAACATTCACACGGCGAGAAGATAGTGAGTAGAACTTCCTTGGCAGTGACTGTATACGCGTGGCCATGTGAGAGCATTTCGGCCGCACCAGGTCATTTGTCGTATAATGTTTCATTGAACATAAATGTTTATTCTTTCGTATCCAAACTTTTCCTCTAATTTTAGGCTAAAACGAAAACAGGTGGCATATTTTTCTTATATAAGCGGTAAGTGTTCAGTGTAACTTACCATATATTTCTTTCAGATCAAAAGTTCCTTTTTTCGCTTTCATGATTCTGAATCGCAAGAGTCCGACATTGAATCAAATTGAGTTAGTGACTGCAAGTTTACAGCTCCAGCTACACTGCCCTTTTCTTTTATATAAGACTTCGAAAGGTAAATAATGAATGTCCTTAGCATAACAATAATATAGGGGATATATTTTCCATTTGGTTCTTCTCTGGTTCAGATTGTGAACGCATCTCAGAAAAACTTGGCAAGTAGGTATTCACATTTTTTTAATAATTAGTCTCCTTACTTCATGTGTGCATTCATCTACTTCCATACCTCAAGAAATTCTATCGTTTTCTTTAGGATTTCATTATCAGTAGAAGGGTTTTTAGTTTTTATCTTAACAGGTTATAGAATTTGAGTTTCATTTGTCTAGATCTCATATGATATATGACGTATTGAATACCTAGACCAGGAACCCTATGCTTTCCCCTAGGTCAGAAGTGAACATTTAGTATACTGTCGTAGCCTGACCATTTTCTATTTCTCTAGATTACTATTACACGTAATACCGTCTCACATCACACTGTGTTTACTAATTTAAATGTGTGTATGGCCACACATACATAGAGAGGAGCAATAGTGATCTAAAAATTAGGGTGTCCAAACATGTACATAAATGGTTGCAAACACAAATAAAATCGAATGATCCAATAGGAGTACAGGATAAACATCCATCATCTATTGTGAAACACATTATTGAAACAGGTCATAAGATTAATCTTAATTCGGCTTTTGTGGTGTTGTACAAAAGTATAAAAGGGCGTATACTGAGGTTTATTAAAGCCTTAACCATACGAAAATTCAAACCTCCTTTGTGTATTCAAAAACAGTTTGTTCTCACCTTAAACCTACCCTGGTAATATTAGCCTAATATCCAGAATGATAAGGTTTCAAATTGTTTTCACATTATTTTCTTCATTATCATTGTCTCCTCTTACCCTCCATTTCCAGTCTAGTTGACCTTTTATTTTTTATATATAAGTCTTCTTAGCAAGTATGTGTGACCAGATTGTACGAAATGTATTGCGCTAATATATCACATAGTTCTGATAATCTTCGTTTACCCATCATCGTATCGAAAGATATCAGGTGAGCCTAAATAAGATCTTATAAATCAAACATTCTACGCAGCTAAGCTCGGAATCGTTTTCTCTAGCCGACCTACCATTCTGGGATGTGTTAAGGACAAACTTCCGCTTTGGGCTACATCAATGTGTATATATAAATTTACTTGCTCATGTGGGGCACGTTACATAGGCCGCACAAAGCGATCATTGTCCAAACGCATCTCGGAACATTATCCGGCCTGGTTCTTAAAAGGAGAACGTATAACAGTTACTAGTTCGATACAGGAGCACTTACTTAACTGTGGACACATCGCTTCAAAGGACTCTTCATTTAGAGTAGTCTACAGAGTCAAAGCAACTGAATCGAAGGGGGTTTGAATCAGTATCTTATCCACAAACTCAAGCCTGAACTTTGCGTGCAGAAACGAGTTGTTCAACCTCCCATCCTTCCTTGGCCCTAATTCCCTTAATGGGTATGTTTCTGTGTTTTTAGTTTTTCTGCACTTTTATTTAATTATTATCGATATTTTTTCTTAAATTACTGTTTTTCATTTTAAACTCTAATCATTTATTATTATTACCTTATACAAGTTCTCTTGATTATTATTCAGTTTATTATTATGACTTGTTGTTTGTCGCTTTTCTTCATATCTGTCAATTAGACTGTGATCTGACCCATAAATTATGTTCTTCCTCACCCCTTGATTAGTACGTTAACCTCATTTGTTATTTATTCTCGAATCCATTTTTGTGATACAATCCTTTCTGTTCTTCTACAGACACGCATTTTCCATATAACTATATATACGAATGCACAGCTTAAGTAAATGTTTTCGTCAAGAAGAAAATTTTCTTCGCTGAATTCTCTTTTTTTTATTCAAATACTAGTCGCTGTATTAACTACTAAACGTTTAGCACAACACGGAATTCTCAGCGTATATACTTACAGTAATCACAGAGCAACGAGGTAATCACAATTTTAGTCGTTTATTAACATTTTAGATCGTTTAGGTTTGTTAAACTGGATTATTGTTGCTCTGCTTCTTGTGTTCATCCAGTGGGTTTTATTTTCTACATTTCACATACTTTTTGTTTAACTAGAACCCACATGAACTACAGTTAACGCATAGTTGGAATGTGTTCACAAATAAGCTGAACTTGTAATCATATTTGTTTCATAGTCCTGAGCTAGGTTGTAGTTGACTGAATTACCTTTCGGCCACAATATTTTTAAGTGAACGCATACAATGTTTCCGTCTTTATGTTTACATAAAATTTTTCAGTAATGTTTATCGTATTCCGTCTGTATTTCATTTGATAGACTTGTTCACGACGCTGGTGGATTAGGATTAAAGATAGCTCCTACAAGCCAATCCACAAATTCCAAATCTAAATCTTCCAATTCTGTAATGAATTCTATGGTAGCTGCTCCTAAATCTCCAGAAACAGTTACTAAAGGATTAAATCAGTTAATGGATTTCGTTCGTGCGTCCACTGAAAATTCCAAGGCAAACTCTTCAAACCCATCAAAAGTTAATGACAATGTATCTAATCATTCCGAAGGACCAAGTATTTTTGACATGTTACACAAGGCAGAAGCCGATTTTAATTCAGGCGTTAGTAATGTGATTTTTGTTTACTATTTCGATTAGTATTTTTAACTCATGCTACTAGGATATGAACAACATTTCTTTGTGTCAAGGCTTGAAACACCAGATGGCTACTGATACTCCAACATATGTAGTGGGTTTCAAACATAAAAATCTTTTGAGAGATCTTTTTGTAGACCAGTGAACAGCCATAGTTTCCTTGGAAATAAATGAATGTTACTTATTGACCAAGTAGAAGCTGCACTTCGTGTTAAGGACAAAAATATCATCTAGTTACTTAAATCAAAGTAGACAAAATAAGATTCGAACATATGACTTAATGGTCGAATGCCGGGTATTGTAACCACTAAGTTAGGGTTCTGTTACACGCTACGTTAAACCCAGAATGTCTTGCACATAGAATGTGTACAACCAACAAAATTCAACTATTTCTCTATTCAATCAAAAGACATTGATTATCAGTTAATAACTTATATTTTTTGTGTTTGCTTGTTTGTTCCAGAGTAATCGAAGCGTATCACAATCAGGTAAGATTAAATCTATTTAACTTAACGCTTTCCCTTTAAAAAAGGGAATAAAACCTCGTTTTTGTCCCATCCATTGATTTTGTTAATGGTGTATATGTAGTTAGTGGTGACTTTTTGTTTACTTGTTTAGACATAACCGTCAATAATGAACTACAACGTTTCCGTACAGCTTGCAATCTTCCAGTTTCAAATGGAAATCATTCATTCAGCAATCATTCTGGACTAGGTTCTAGCGGAGTTTCGTAAGTAGCATATTTATCTATATGTGTTGTGCACTAAGTATTCTGGTAATGATTAGTTGTTATGTGACTTTCGCTTATCAGTATTTAATGTACTTGTGAAATGTTTTACTAGATTAAACTATACCTGTTAACCATCAACGCTGTTTATGTTGTGTAATTTCTAAAAGTATACATGTATAATGTTCTACGGGGATTGAATCTATCAATGAGTATTATATCATTATTGTAAATCATATATATATATATATATATATATATATATATATATATATATATATTAGTGTAGAGCCATGATGAAAAACTAAGTGAAAAGAAATTTCTTCGCTCAATTCGTTCCTTCTGTAATTAATTATTTGTTTCTAGTATATTTTGAAGCATTATTATCCTTGTTCATTGTTCAGATGTTTAGTCAGTCAAAACAAATGTGTATGCAGCACATTTGGAAGCAATAAAAAATTATGAATAGTGGTGAACTCATAGAAATAAACTATTAGGACAGTACTGAATCTTCAAAACATGGATTTCATCAAAATATTATTTATAGTTTCTAGCAACATTTATATGATTCATTACATCAGTTTTATATTATTGGTCATAATTCTAGTAAATAGTAGATATACTTATCTTCATGTATAGGGAACCCCATTAGTAAAAAGTTTTACACATATTTAAATAGTTGCTTCCGTGAAGGTTGTAATAACTTCGTTTACTTGTTTTCGGATTTTTATTTCTACCTATTTTAGAAGTAGTAAGAAGAATAAACTGAGTTGTGGGTCATCTCAGATTGTCAATCATATTTCTGTTGCTGAACTTGAAGAACAGTTACTTCAGGAGCATATATCTGTAAGTTAGAAATGTTTCTTGTCACTAATGAAATCGTGGTTGAAATTCTATCTGGTTAGGATTTCAGTAGGAAAATTGGCTTCAGCTAATTGATGTGATGTGTAGGTAGGTTTAGGTGACACGGGATCGAATCCACCAGGGAGCACCAGTTCCTTCAGAGATTACAGGTACACCTTGCTGACGAGTGCCAAGTAGCACGAAACCCTGGTCCAGGGTTTCCTGTCGACTACCTCCAACCACCATCTAATGTTTAGGTTCACTTAAACTCTAGGCTTAGATATTAATCTTATATGATTTATTACCAGCTAGGCAGCACTCTGAAAAAATTTGTTCTGTTTTCTAAGTTTATACCCACGTCGCCTACTACTGTAAATTTACTTTTATTGGCGGTTGTATAGATGGAGTAGTTTTGCTAATCATCCAAAATTTGTCACTTTTGTAGTGGCTCACGGTATGAGGATGAAGTCACCAGTCCCTGAAAATGCTATTTAGCATAATTATAGGTTAAGTAGGTTTTTAATTATACATTGTAGGCACGTGATTTCCACTTTATTCCCCAGTAATGCTGCTACCGGTTCATAAGAATACGAAATGTGGTGGTAGTGATGACCGACCATTCAGTGTTATCACCGCATTTTATTGCGTCATAATCTGCATATCGATACGCTTTTTACATACCTAGCAAATGTATATTCCCAAATTTCTCTTTTATCGTATTCAATAGAATAACAAGTGATTAAAGTACACTATATTATTCGTTGTTACACGTTGTGATACTGTTGTTATTTCAACTTTTCATACTCAAAATTAACAATGCAAATAATAGTAATTATTTATCCCTGCCTCTTCCATTAGCTTCCTGAAAACCTTGATGAGCTAACATCACGTTCAAAGATATCCGGTGAATTAAAAACAGTTGTCGCTACCGATGATAGTTCTCCAGATGACCAGGTTTTATCACATATTTCAACCATGGCGTCTCCTGCATGCTACCTTCAAGGACATAAAGATACTCGTGTTGATCGAAATCGCCGCCTTCTTAGTGATGATGCTGGTTATGTGGATGATGTTGATGATGAGGAAGCATGCGAAGACCCTTGTGGTCGTGGTTTACCCAAAAGCTATGGAGTTGGCCAACGTAAACAACGACGGCATATCCGTCAGCAACAAGACAATTTTTCAGATGAAATACATTCACCATCTAATCGGTCAGTTAATCGAAACAAACTCTCGAATATCACTTCCAAGTGTAAAACGATTATAGGAGAAGACACACTCGTTACACCTGATATGTTAACCAGCATCCCATCATCGATTTTCCCCGGATTAATGTCCGAATTTAATTATGGTAAACATACTGTATCGAGCCCTTTTTCAGAAAATAAATCCCCCATCTCGACAACAGAAAAATCTGCGATGAATGAATATCTTACGAAAGATCAATTAAGAGAAACACTAATTCATTTGTTACAAGTAGGTTTCATTGTATTTTTCATATCAAATTGTGCAAACCGTTAAATTTTATTGAAATTACGAACCAATCTAAGTTCGGCGACCATTGAAACCCTGGAAGTACTAGACATTTGTTTCGTTGTAGTATGGGTCTACGTAGGAGTGTGCATCCACGGCCTCTCGACTGGAGGTCGAGCCCAGGACCTTCACTCTCACGCGCTGAAGTCTAACCTCTAGACCACTGAGCAGTTTTCCAGTGGTAAGTTGGTTGAAGCTGACTTCATTCGTCACAGGATCACAACTCGACGGTTTAGAGGCTAAACGTCCGTACGTGAGACCGAAGTCCTGGGTTTGACCCTTGTCTTTGGGGTCCGCTGTGCAGCATTGTGAAGTCCCGTATTGCGACGAAACAACCGTCTAGTGCTTCCGGGTCTCATTGATTGTCGGTTTATGGCTTTAATTAATTCGTTCGTTTCAAGCTGGTTTACAATGAAATTTTTTTTTCGTGCTACAATCAAAATATTTATCTCATTTTCTCATACCAGTTATCACTGTTAATGCTCGCATTAGCGCACTAATTGTCTGACTTTTCTGGTTCAAGTGTAGTATTACAAATACTATCCTTAATATTTCATATATTCGGTTAGATTCGACTAATTCCATTTGTCAGGTAGTAGAAGGTTTAAATCACCAACAAGCTCTTCAGTTTTGTGAAGAATTTCGCTCCCCATTTCGTCATCTAGGAATATCTGTGATCTGTGATTTAAGAGAACTAGCTAATTTGCTTGGATTGTTCTTGCCAAATGTACGAACTAATTCACCACTGTAAGACTTGATCGTTCTAAAGCACTCATGAAAATGTTTTCTTATATTAGTTCTAGACGTTTTTTTCGTGTCTTGTTACCACTTTTCACTTCACTACCTCTTGAAAGTCCCCTATTTCATTAGTAAACCATATAGTCATTATAGATATAATATCTCAGGCTTAGTTCGTTGTATCCACTGAAGTTTAAGATATTTAAAACTGTTTCTCTGTGTTTGTCTTGCTACTAACCATCAACTTTTCTTATTGCCGTTTTCTTTTACAGACAGATGATGATTTCGTGCATCGTATACATATTGGTTATGTTAATGTATTAGAAAAACGATTGCCCAGGAAGTAGAAAGTGCAATTTTCCTTATCTGTACTTATTGTTTTTAGTTTTAGTTGGATCAATAAAGCAGAGATATACAAGGATTAATTAACTAATCAGCCAACTGTATGTATTATGTCAAAATTAGATTATGTTAATTTTATTTAATCAATTTATATACTTACTTATTGCATAAAAAAGGAAAAAGGAAACGAATGAGACATGCTCTGTTCAATTTTGTCGTTGTTTCTGTTCTGGTTGTTTTTATTTCAGTATAAATTTGGACATTTCGTTTTTTCGTTAGTGATATCTATTATCCTTTGACGGTTGTAATTTTCAGGCATTTATTATTCTATGCGTTTATCTTATGTAAAAATAAGCCCATATACATGAACATACATATTGTGTACATCTTATTATTCATGTGAGAATACGTCATATATGAGATGTTTTTCTATTGTTATCAATAAATAAATAGTTGTTTTTCTTTTTCAGGTTTCTACAGATAGTATCTTTTATCTACCAATTTCCCATATGTTGTAATGTATGTTTATTGGTTTTGTTAATTAAACTGCTCATTCTTCGTCTGCAATAATGTTTTCAAGAAAAATATTTATTCGAATAAAATTGAAGTCAGAAGACCTACTCAAAAACACAGTTGATCTTTGCTTATTTAATCGTATTGAATGCGAGAGTTATCCACGGAATCATTAGTTCTATCTAATAAAGTTTATTCGGACTTGCATATACAGTTTCTTACTTTTTCATCTGAAGACAGATCTTATCTAACATATTTCTCTCCGTGTACATCATACTTAACTTCGTCCAATTGTTTCCTGCTAATAATAATCAGAAGCACGTTGTCCTACTGTTGTTTTCGCACCGTTTATGATTATAGGAGCGTGTAATTCATCAAAGTGGAGCTTAGTCAAAGCCGGTAATGTTTTAGTTAAGAATCTTCCATTCTTTTGACGTTTTTGAAATCTTGAGTTTCAAAATGGATAGGAAGATTTATAAATCTTCCCTAAACTTATTTTTTAGCTCAAAGTAATAAATATAATGGTATGCTCCAACTCTATGTAAGTTGTTTCTGTAAGTTTGAAGTTGGTAAGGAAGTTTTCGTACACTACATTTCAAGACCCCTAGCAAATGTTATCTGAAAGTTGGTCACTTGTCTCAAATTAAAATTTTTAGCTGTTATGGTGAAACGTGTTGAAGCATCGATACGAACTACATAAGATGTTTCTTCTCCGGTTACCCCTACTGGTCAAAGTTTCGACAAAATATTGAATTCTTTTGTGCTAGGTTATGAACAGTCATTTTAGTCAAATGAAATTTGAGTCATTTTAGATATCAATCAAAAGATTTCTTGTGTTGTCTCAATCCCATGTTCATTACAGTGTATGTATGAGAAATAATCGATATTTCACATTTCAGTACCGAAATACTCAGCGTTGTGCCGATTAACTGAAAATGAAAGCATCTGTAGTAACGTTGAATTGAGGCAAGAATACGTGTTGTAACATAAAGCATTATACGGTAGAGCCACCTGCATATTTTGGCTTGACAAGGTAGCCTTACACAGTACTAAATACCGCCAATAGTTTTCATGGAGTTCACACGTTTGACACCATCTAGTTAATTCATTCGTCAAGGTTGTTTATGTCTTCAGTAAGCCTATTGGTCAGAAATTTATTAATGCGTAAAAATATAAGAAAAGGACTATTACGTTAGCTGTCTACCGTAATATGACAAAGAGAACACCGTGGTTCAATTTCGCTCTGTACTTACATAAATTTTCTAATGATTTTTGTGTCCTACTTTGTATACTCTGTTTATTTACTATTGATAATTTTGTTATTCATTCTCCATTTTCACGAAAATGGGACTGACGTCTGAACATACCTAAATTGTGTCCAATACCACGTCGATACAGTGACTTATCACCAAAGCTTATTAATTTTAATTTGTATTTAATGCCAATTAATCAGTCTATGTGTTTTTGCTTTAATAACAATGATAAGGTCAAAACCCATGTCAAGTAAATCATTCATATTCTGTGGATTTTAGAAATTAAAATAAATCTGAAAAGTATTATATACTTTCCTAAGTAGATTCTATTTATAAGTAGTCCATCAGAGTTAAATCTAAATATAAAATACCAGCACCCATCTTTCATGTAATAATTTAAAGGAAAAACGTTCAACGGATAGTTTTATTATTGACATGATCATATATACTTTCTGTCTTAATTATGTGTCTTTGTGCTTCTAATCCAAACATCTCTCATGTATTATTAGTTGTTCTGTGAGGATTTGGTTTTCGAAGTACTAAATGCTTTTTGACTAATCACTGTAACATATTGTTTGATAATATATCGGGATGATCTGGCTCCAAAGAAATGACTCTGAGATATCTTTACAAGCCCGATACCTCAGATACTGCTGATAAATCTGACTTGTTTAATCAAAAATGAATAACTGGCCGTAAATTTTAGTGAATAATCGACTACATTTGTTAAATTCTTGCCGAATTTTACATTTGAATAATAAATACTTCAATTATTAGTGTAAAAAAGGTGACCTAATTTGTTGAAGTTTAATTCACACTTTAATTATCAATAAGGTCTTTGAAAGATAATACAATCACAGTTTGTGTAGATCTTCAAGGAAATATAATATTAATTTTGTTCTCTTCTATGGGATCGAAGAAGCTAGGACCAGAATGTTGTTGAGGTTATCTAATAACCATCTATGAGATATTAATATAACTCTATGTTTTATACGATCTAAATGTTCAGTCTCCTATGTGTATGAAATTGTTAGTTTGAATCTAGACAAAAGTGTATTTAGAGTATTTCGTATCGAAAACAGATGACTAATTATTGATTATCAGTGTATGAGACATGTGGGACCATAAAGTCACCCTGAAGTTTATTTAAACATTGATGATAGACAACTATATTAGGAGGGAAATATTTCAAACTGTACTACTCGTGTAAACATTCTCTATAGATGAACAGATAAACTTCTAAATATCTGAGTCGGCGAGATTCCTTTTGTAAACGATTAAGCCATGATTACCTGTTATAACTATTAACAAAAGGTACTGTAAACTATAGAAACATATTGGTAATCAGCATAAGTAGATATGTAGATACTTCGATGGATATTTTAAACAACCTGTAAACTGTTAATCTGTTGGTATATCTGTTCGTTTGATTCAGTCGAAAATACCATATAGTCTAAACAGCTCATCTTATTTAGGCCAATGAATTTGTGTACACTTTTGAAATAGACATAAATAGAATTTTAACTGTGAGGCATCGAAAAAAGTTTTGCAAATACATTTCCCTCTTTCTTGATCTTATACACAGTAGATAGTTATGTATGCCAGTGGTGGTGTGATACATGGGATCAATCTAATTATGGTGAAATTTATAGAGATTTAAGCATATCTTTGGTACCATAATGATGTTAGTCTGTTGTAAAAGGTTTAGTCTACATTCTATACATAAAAGCAGCTTTACTCTATACTTTCGAAACATAAACTCCCCAAGTTAACAATGTTCAAAAACTATCTGTATTCGATCATCATTGTCTCTAAAAAATTACTACTGAGTTTCAGTCCAACTAATATGACAAGATAAAATAACGAAATCAAATTATTAATTCATTGTGATTTTTATTAAACGTAACCGCCATTTTTAATTCAATATGATGAATTATTTCCATTGTGCATAAAATTGATTTACTTCATTATGATGTTTATTCAAGTTATGATATTCTTTATATTATAAAAAAGTGAACTATGTTTAATAAGAAATGCAACATGTGATTTGATGATGAATAAGGATATTTTTCATTCATGTGATATTTTGTGATTAATAATCAAATAATTCTACTAATTGAATATATAAATGACTGTGTATTTCAATTAAGGTTTTCATGTTTTAGATTGAATAAATCTTCTGTGTTCTTACTTCGTATCATGGGAATAATAGCGGTTCCTCGTTTCAAGTATAAATAATAGACAACTCGTATATGAGGTCAACATCATGTTTGTTATTATTGATGTTATCCAGTGGCTTCCTATTTACAAGCTATTTTTTGACTATGGGACTGGTTATAAACATCTGAGAGGTGGTCAGTATACGAAATGGTGTCGGAGTAAATGACTATATAAAACATGGTCCTGTTGATCCATAGCGACTCCCTGATTGAGCGTTGTTCATAACTTGGGCATAAAGTATATTCTAATACACTGCTGTGATAAAATCACACAACTATTTTATTACAGTTGTTATTGATAAGCGTTTAAAATAAGAATATCATCAATGTGGGATATTTCTGTAGTAAACCACCTGGCTACTGATCGATTTGTAAGTAGTTAAAGTTTTACTGATTGAATTTAGAAAATTCGGATGTAAGTGATTGACTGAAACTTCATGACATTAAAAAACGACCGAATTTTTCAAAATCAAAATATATCAAGTGAAGTCATGTAGGTTGCGGTTATTTAATATATGTCAGTAATAGAAAAACCAATTGGCGACTATTACCACTAAAGTATAAAATAATCACAAACCTTCATATAAATAAAAAGTCAACTATCTCCACAACCCTATACTGATAATTATTGTGCATTCACTTGTGACTAGCTTCGAGAGATAATTCTTGGAGTTTTAGTGAGAAGTCGTAACTAATGTAGTTTAACCGTATCGGGTCTGAGTCAGTTAACCACTGAAGACAATGAAGGGTGATCGCACAATATCGTAGATTGGTTGAAGTTAAACATTAACACTGTTGGATCCCGGCTCAGTGGTCTGGAGTTTAGGCGTTCACGCTAGAACGAAGGTCCTGTGTCCAAGTCCTGATTGCGGGATTGTGAGGGCTCACTGCTAAGTGGTCTGATACTAGGACAAAACGGCCGTTCAGTGCTTCCAGGTTTTCAATGATGGTATAACATTAATCGGTTCATGATTTCAATAAAATATAATAATCTGGTAATTTATGTATTTTTTAAAGATGAGTTCCCGGAGCTCTAATAAAAAGCCGTAATCAGTAGATGTTATGCACGCATTTATTGAAACCTTCACCACCACCGTAATCGTATGGTTTCTGTGTTATGTTGCTATTTAATCGGGGTTGAAAATTTTTATAGCTAGGTAAATTCAGATTTCGAAATAAAAATTAGAAAGTGTTTTATTTATTTACTGAATTTGACTTTGTGGTGGTTGAAATTCTATAAAATCCTTCAACTTCGTATACAGTTCGTCTTGATAACCGTCACTAGATAATGCCCCAACGGTGTATTAATCAGAAGGCGAATACGAAGTGTCGATTACGTTTATTATTGAACCAAAAATAGATATCCACTTTACAGGTACGTTAAACAAGCATGAAAGAGTAGTACCGATAAGCTGGCAGACAAGCGAGCGAGCAAGTCAGCGAACACCAGTGCGAGTAAGCGAGTACAATGAACATGAATAAAATGTACATATATATACATAGTGAAATGGATGAATCATTGAATCAATTTAGCGACTAACAATAATGCTAGCAGAATGAATAGATGCGTAGGCAGTAAGCAATGCTTAGGCATACATATTCATACAAGTGTGACAATAATAAAGGTACAGTGATATAAATAAGTTGTTTTATACGAATGACTCTATCCTTTAAATAAGTTTTCAAACAGGGCTTAACCAAATTAAATGTGAACAAACTCAATTTCACGTGAGCTGCTATAACTTCTTTTATATCTTTCATTTTAATTCTGGCTGTCCAACTTTATTACTTTAAGGAAAGATCCATACATTCATTTTTTTAGTGAATTAATTACTCAACGTTAGAATGATATATGT